ATGTGAAAATGGGTGCGTACGCGACACGGAAGAGGTTCGAGCGGACTGCGCGCGCCGCGCATCCTCCCGCGTTCACCTGGTGAATCATATTTCGGCAACGGATTGATGGATTTTGATTAATAAAATTGATCATTATTTATTATACAAAAAGGAACAACTTTTGTGATGAACATTTTCTTCTATTTGCCAATGTTTCCCATAAAAAAAAAATCATCAAAAAAACCACTTAATTTGTTTATAACTATTAATTGCACGCACTTACATAAAAAATACCACCGGATTCGGATTTCTCATACCCGAAAACATAAGAAAACACCTCAAAACCTTACCGCACTAGAAGTGCACACGGGAAGGGGNGCACTAGAAGTGCACACGGTAAGGGGGTATTGCGTGTGGACTAAGACTAAATATGAGAGATAATGCGTTCTTTTAGAAATACTGCGTAGGATAGAAGAATTGTTTTAGGGTATGTTCGAGCGAAGCGTGAAGTGAAAGGTGTTTATTGCTTGTGACAATTTTATGGCGATCATGTTTAGTTTGTGAGAGTTTTCTTGGATGACTGAGGGTGGCCTGTGTGAGGAACAGTACGCTCATTTTTTGGAACAAAGAGTGTATTGGTTGAGCATGAGTGAGAGTGAGAAAAGTAATTTTGAAATAGACATAAAATAGTATATTTCGTAACGAGTGCAAAAAACATTTTTTCACGAGTTACGGACTATATTTTTCATCAGAATGTGGCGGAAATTGGACTTTTAGGCACGCGGAGCGCGCCGAAAAGTTCACTTTTCGCCACAGCGTGATGAAAAAGAGTGTTTGCCCGAATGAGAGAATAAAGAGTGGGTCAGTTCTGATCGGATGGATGTCGCGTTAACATGTAAAGAAGTTTAACTCCCACAACGGTGTACTTTTTTTTGAAAACCGAATTTACCTCAAATATACATTCATTATTTCATTAAATTAAATATCCTGTGTCTGAATGATTGTGATCCTACAGAAATATTCCTCAAAAACTCAAGTGGGAGATAAGTCGACTTAAACCATTTTACCACTTCGCTACTGATTTTAAATTGTTTTGTGTTCTTGAAACTATCTCAAAGATTTACAAAGAGAAATTCCGAATGCTGTGATAGTAACGATAGCATTAGTAAGAACTAAATAATTTATTTCTCACGCAATCTCATGTTTTTTTCTCATTCTTGTTGTTAAAATCTCATTTCATGAAAAAAAAACTTTAAAAAATTAACAGAACGTGGAGAGGGACGGCGCCAATAAGGGGGTCCACCTTTGCGATGGTCTGGCGATGGGGGGAGGGGAGGTCTAAATTTTAGACTAAAATTTAGACTCAAAGAATAATAAATAATAAGTAATCTTCAATGAACCGTTGAACAACATTAATATAAAAAATTTCTTCACTTCAGAAAATGAGAAAAATGAATGATAATAGAGGTAGTTAAGTCAAGGTCATACGCATGACTATTTTATAACGCATCATAATTATATCGTCATTTTAACCTAATTTGGAGCACCCGAAAATAACTGGCCTAGAGAATCATAATTTTTGAAAATGATTCACTTCTCTCAAACAAATGATAATTATTTTGCAGAAATATTTGTTTCTGTCGTTCCAATGAACGAATGTACGAAATGTACTGTTAATTTTTATTGAAATGGTCATTCACCCTAGAAACGAGGGATTTCAAAAGAGAATGTGGAGATTTTTTTGTAGTTGAAAAAATTAGCAACAAACAATGTTTTCTAAGGAGTGAATCATTCGCCAACGAGATATTATTAAATATTCGCGTATTTAGAGTGATAAACTATTTGTGAGGCTTCGATCCTTCATCAATTATTGGAAGTTTGAAAGTGATCGAGAATTGTTATTGCCGGTGAAACGAAGAAAATAATTGTTGGAATATTTACGTACATTTTGGAGCACGGTTGACAATAAACAGGCACCGGCAGGTTTGTTGCGACTCACGAATGGAATGGCTGAGAGGAGAATGGAGGGGAGGCCGAATGGAGGAGCGGGAAAGGTTACTAGATTTAACAGGTTTTGCCAGCGCTCGGTCGCTGGTCGGCGATCTTTCGAACGCAAAATCATCAATTATTAGCCCCATTTGTGTAAAAACGAATTTGTGAGGTTGAAATTATCGACTTTTTGCTTTTGAGCAGCAATTATTCGTCATTTACTTGGTTCAGCAGGTCTCTAGGAAGCTATTAGCAACGGTAGAAAGATTAAACTGTTTCGTTTAGAAACGATCGAGATCTTTCAAACGTGAAATCATCAATTTTTAGCGAAATTTTTACAAAAACGAAATTCTGACGTTTGAATCATCGACTTTTTGCTTTTGAGCAGCAACTATTCGGCATTTATTTGGCCCGGTGGGTCTCTAGGAAGCTATTACTACCGGAAGAAAAATTGAATTGGTCCGTTTAGAAGTGATGGCGCTCGTTCGAACGCAAAATCCTCTATTTTTAGCGGAATTTTTGCAAAAACGAGTTTCTAACGATGGAATTATCAATATCTTCATTGTATGTATGTGCTAACTATTCGGCATTTACTTGGTTGAGTAGGTCTCTAGGAAGCTATTAGCAACGGAAGGACGATTTAAACTTTGGTCCGTTTAGAAATGATGACGATCGGTCGAATACGAAATCATCAATTTTTAGCGGAATTTTTGCAAAAATGAGCTTCTAACGATGGAATTACCAACTTCTTGCTTTTGTGTCCCAACTATTCGGCATTTACTTGGTCTACTCGGTCTCTAGGAAGCTATTAGCAACAGGAGGACGATTGAAATAGATCTGTTCAGAAATGCTGGCGATCTGTCGAATGTGAAATCATTAATTTTTCGCAGAATTTTTGCAAAAACGAGCTTCTAACGATGAAATGATCAAGATTTTATTGATCAAATTGACCACTGACGAGTCGGAGTCCCCGCGAAATTTTATATATTTGAGGATGCTGATGCTGAAGCTTCAATCCATATGTTTTCAGGTGGAAAGGATGATAAGGGAACGATGGAGGATAATTAAATGCACGACAAAGTACGGATGGCTGATGGCTTACTATCAAGGATCTAGAATATCTCAAGAACGAATGAAAATATTAATTAATCTCGCTAATAAAGTAAGTGAAATAGGTGATGGAATGATGGAACAGGATGATTTAATTTCATTGAAGATGAATTTTTAAAAAGTATATCGGATTCTTCGAATATTAATTAAAAACTGATCAATAGTCAAAATCGACTTAAGCTGTTTTATCGCTTCGCTACTGATTTGATTAATTCAAATCGTGTCATTAGGTGATGGCTTATGAGATATTGATTATTTAACAAGGTTCATTTGACCTCGCCCTCTCATCCTGTTCCACCAAATCGCAGCAAGAATTTTTATTCATATGATTATCATCGAATCATCATCATTTTATTTCGATTATCATTGATAATCATAATCATATTTTATTTCCAATCTCAAACTACAACTATTCGAATATAAATATTTCAAAATGTAATCCTGAACAGATTGGCCAAAGAAATTGTGAAATTGCAGTCGCCAGAATTCGAAAATTATCGTATGAAATTCACCCAAATCAAATTCCAATCGTTGCTGAAGCCATCTTGAACGAAATATACACAATCCTAATATTGAAGTAAGTAAGACATACTAAAACGTGTGAAAAAATTCAATAGAAAAACTTATCGAACTCGCTGGACAATTCTGTTGGAATTCTCTGGAAATCTTATTGGAATTTTATTAAAATTTTAGGGAATTCTTGTCAAAATCCATTTTGTTTTTTGCGCTGATTCTATGAGGTATTTGGTAAGAAAAACTTAATAGATTTTGATTTTTCTAGATGAATATTCTCTTGGAATTTTATCTATAAGAATACATGGGCATGAATCTTCCAATTTTTTTTTCGCTCGGATCCTGCAATGCCAAACAAAACAAAATATAGCGGAAAAGATTGAGAAAATCCGTGTCCAATACTTTTAACGGAAAAAAACTTGAGAGAAAAATTCAAACCGAAAAATCGAAATCTCTTAACTATTTCTAGAGAATTCCAATTGAAGTTTGTAGCCAATTCGCTAAGGTTTTCTATTCAATTTTTTCATACGTGAAAACAATTCCATTCTTCCCCTTTTTTCACCCACATTGTATGTTACTACAGGCAAAGGAGAGAGTTTCGATGGGAAATGAAACGCCTGATACCAAAGCCACCGACAGTGTTTACAATTTCCAACGATATATTTTGAAAGCGAGTAATACATTTGATTGACAATGACTCAAGAGTTCCTTCCGCAAAATATATATAAATGAAAAATAAATGAAAGTAATGAATTTTTACATCTCTCAATGGGATAAAAACGGACCTAAAAAACTAAATTCTCTTCGATCTTCCAAAGAGTTGAAAAAAAAAGTAATCATCTCATGCCTTCGTCTACAAATCAACGCAAACAAAATAAAATAATGAGTATAGTCGAATGTAATAAAGTAAAATACACTCTTGTAGGCACTCACGATTGCAATAAACATGTACAATGAATTTATGTGTATATGGATATTAAAAATACACACTCTTAGATTGAAATTATTTGACATCCGTCAAAAATTTTACGCAATGAATTATGTAACAAATCTTATTGGCCTCTGAATTACTGAATATTGTCACGCACAAAATGAATATTGTATATTGGTAACTGATGATCATATCCCATGAACTTTTATATATTCAGTTTATAATTCTGTAAAAAGTTTCATTGATAAAAGAAACACTAGTTGACTATGCGATTTCATTCTGCCAATAATATGGTCCCATAAGTCTAAAAAGTCTACGATCTCCTATTGTGCATCGAATATGATTAAATTCCTGTAATTTCATTATTTCGACTTCATTGTATTCAGATAACTCTCATATGCAGCCAATGATTTTTCTGTGCTCCACTATTTCCAAATCTGAAATAAAAAAAAGATTAATTACGTAGAAATATTGATGAGTTCTCGTATATTGATTGATTTTTTTCATGATTTTTGTTGCCTGTGATTTCGATTATTGATTTAGCAGCCAAAGTTATTCACAATCATCCTGAATGTGAATATTGAAGTATTGTTTTTGTTTCAACTTTGCTTGATTCTTCAGTTAATCACCCAATGAGCCACACCTAATGGCAATTAGTCGAGTTAGATAACTTACGGAGTTAGTTCGTTTGAGATGAAATTCATCTAGCTGATAAATGGCGTGAATAGTTATTGTTAGATTGTGGGTGAGTTGAGATTAGGGCTGCCTGGAGTTGATGAGGGTGTCGATGGTGTACCTGGTGGTGATGATTCCAAGGGACACACCAAATTCCCATAATCAATATCACTCTTGCTCTTCTTTCGTTTTAGGGTGAATTGAGATTTCTTTGGTACCTGAAAGGACAGTATCGAAAATTCAATTCATTTGTTTTTTTTTATTAAATTCAATTATTCTTTAATCTATTGGATAAACCAGACGCTGGTAATTTGGTGATAATACAGTATGAGTTAAAGTCACTTTACGGAAAGATTTCGAGAAATATGGCTCAATCAATCTATCTCGTAGAGCAACATGAGTTTTACAAGATAGAACCTAGAGATAGCGAAATTTTCATGAGGTCCACTTTACAAAAATTTTCCTTTGCTGTTAGGGATTAAAATCTGTAGCGAGGCAGTAATATGGATCAAGTCGATTAAGCCCCTAGCTGAGTTTTCGAGGAATATCTCCGAATCTAAAGGAGGCCACGAAATTGTTGTAATGACCTTTTTTGTAGGGCTAATTTCCCTCCTTTAAACTGATCTTCAATCGAACACGTCTATCTGTTTTTCAATTTTTATTTTTTTAAAGCTCATGAAAAATCTTGTAATTGTTTCGCTATTTCACTGAGAATTAGTTTAACCCCAATGTAACATTCCCCTCCTTTAAATTGACCTTCAATAGAGCACATCCATCTGTTATTCATGTTCACCTGTTTAGAGCTCATGAAAAATCTTGTAATTGTTTTGCTATTTCACTAAGAATTTACTTTACCCCAATGTAACATTGCGTTCCTTTAAATTGACCTTCAATCGAGCACGTCTATTTGTTTTTCATTTTTAACTGTTTAGAGCTCATGAAAAATCGTCTATTTTTTTGTTATTTCCCTGCCGAATTAATTTCACCCCAAGGTAAGATTTCCCTCCCTTAAACTGACCTTTAATCGAGCTGTAAGTGTCAATGGCACAAATCCAAGAGTGGTCTCCATCTCCCTCTTATGCTGTACAACTTCCCTCCCAAGAATCTGATTAAAATGAGTGGTCAAATGTCTCCGCAATAGGGTCTTGGCAGGTGGAATACTGAGGAGAGTGGCTAACAGTTCAGAGGTAAATCTGCCCTCATGAATGATCAGTCCCCCGTGGACCCCAGATCCCCTCATATTAGGCGCATACTCAGCAAGATCCACGACTCTCAACCACTCCATCACTCTGTGATTCGTCCACAACGCGACATTACTGCCGTCAGCTCCATTACCGTTCACTGATCTCCTCTCTAAATTATCAAACTCGAAATTCAGTTCTCGAAGCACTTGGATTCCACGACGCAAACTTGCTGCGTGAAGTTGCGCTGCTACACCGAGGGTCAGTAGGTCTTCAGTGGTCAGCCTGTGGAGAACACGACCGTCTACTTTGGCATTGTGGAAAGCTTCTTTGTGCTGGGGTAGACCAACGTCGTCGAGCCAACGGAGAACTGCTGCATTATCCATCTAGGAGTAGTTAAAAAGTAATGATTAATTTACGAAATAGGTTTTTTAAACAGATATCTCTGAAGTTAATTGAGATGACAGCATTTTTGTAGATGTTTTGTTTGTTTTTAGACACTAGTTATTTGATCTTTCTCTGTAAAACGAGTATAATCAATATTTTCTAATTTCAAGTAGAGTAAAACTGGAAAAGTATTTGCTATTTATGAATAAACAAATGAAGTTGATAAATATCGAGTGAAATTGAAAAATAACTGAATTACAACGCTGATCGAGTTGTACTGTTTAACATTTTTAACTGAAATTTTCAGTATACTTAGTGTAAACTTTCATCACATTATAGTTTTGCTGAAATGTCAAGGAATTTTGCCATCAAAAATTCAAAATTTTATGGAAAAATCAATGGAAAGTGTAATCTTCGGTTCAATTATTTCATGAAAATTAATAGAAATGAGGGAAATTTAGGTGAATACCTTTTGATTTATTAAAAATTGAACGTAATTGGGTAGTGAATACTCATGTCTTCATTGAAGAGTCAAATAAATTGGGGATTTAATGTCTTCCTGTTTTTCAAAAAATCGGAATTCCATCGAAATTTCAATGAAATAAAAATTCATTCAAATTCAATTTTTTTTTTAGCTATGTTGCACTATAATAATTTGATCAACGATGTAATTATTTTGCCAATATCCCTTGACTTTTCATCCAATCTATCAACAACAGATGAGATGAATACAGTATTGGTCTTAAATTAGTCTTAAATATTCCTTTTGACAATCATTAATTTTCACCAGAAAAAAAAATTCCACCACACAATTTATTACACCATGTAGTAATAAAGTTGTAGGAGTTTTTTTTTCTTTGCAAGTTTTTATTTTCCATGCAAAAAGGTTCATTTTCAATAGAATTCACATGCAAGGATCGACATTTTTGGTTTTCTGCATAAAACGAATATAAAAATATAATTATTCGAAAAAAAAATCAATACAGGAATTACTCAAAGTAAAAATACCTTTTCAGATCCAAGAAATCCAACTCCATTGCACCTCTCGCACTCTATAGCATACAGTAATTTCTTCCTGTGAAGACTGTTCTTGATATCGAGCTCCTTTTCAATTTGATGTGCTGTAACATCGAGTAGTTTAGCGCCCGTAGCCCCCCATCGCCTTAGTTCAGGTGCATAAGCCTCTAGACCCAGTCTCGTCAACCACTCCTCCACTTCCTCCATCGACAGGTCGTTCAAAGGCTTTGGAGGAGGCACTTCGGCACGAGCTAATGCTTCAGAAATCACGATTCTCTCTTCTTCAGCTGGAAAAGAAGTCCTCGTCATTGAAAAAAATAATTATGCTTTTGAAATGTGTTTTCAATTCCAACTGATTACTCGTATTCATCGTGTCTTATTGGGAAAGTCACGTGCAAATGTGCGGCTAATAATGCATGAATCAAGCTATGGGAGGGATAATTCGTTAAATTACGTGAATTATACTGTAGAAATGCGAAGTGAATTCAATGAGAACATCGGGGGATTAATTCGACAATTGGGCTTTTGCAAGAAATTTTTTTATTGCTGAATATAAAAATTGAATCAATCATTTCGAACACAATTTTTTTTCGATAGATTACGAAGCTTTTGCCGTAAAAATTAAGGTATTGCCAATAATTAAATACGTATCTACTAATTAATAATAATTCATCCAATTTTCATATTTCATCATTTCATGCGGCAACCGAATTTATCTATAAGTTAATGAAAATTAAAAAATAAAGGGTCATTCCAAGCACATTCCCAAGGTGCCTAGATATATTCAAGTAACCTAGAGCTGGGGCAGATAAACATCTGGCCGAGTTTCCTCTGACTGCAAGCGGTACCGTAGTTTGAGCACCAGATATTTGATGAGAAACCTTACCAAAAGCAACGCCTTTCTTCACCGATGTCGGGGGCCTTGGCAGGCTGCTATATTGTCCTGCGTGTCTGCTGAACTTCTCACCCTGATAACAACGATAATAAATCTGTGAGTTTCATGATTAATTATAAATCACCTTTTTCGTTACTTTAGCATAAAGTGAAATTTTACGCCTGCTCCGCGTGCACAAGATCCGACTATCCACATATTTTGATGAAAAATAGGGTTCGACATCTGTGGGCTAGATAATTCTATTGGATTTCTATTGGATTTCTATTAAACTTGCCATTAGTTTTTGGACAATTCTATTGAAATATTCAATAGAAAATATTCTATAGACAAAGTCAATAGGATTCAATTTTTTCTACACAACTCATTTTATTGAGATATTTTCTGTAGAATTTCCTCAGCTCAAATTTTCCGAGTTTTTTTCATTTTATTTATTTTTTTTTATCAAGAAAATTGAGCAAAAAAACATGGAAAATTTGAGGGGAGGAAATTCTACAGACAATATCTCAATAGAATAAATTGTATCCAACTCGAAAAATCGAAAAAACGAAAATCGAATTTGATAAAAAATAAAGGCTCATTCTGTAGAAAAATCGAATTCTATTGACTTTTTCTATACAGCATTTTCTATTGAAATTTCAGTAGAATTGGCCAAACATTAATGGAAAATTCAATAGAAATCCAATAGAATTTTCTAGCAAATTCGCTAGGTTTTTCTATTCAATTTTGTTATGCCTGTTCACTACCTTGTATAAACGCACTATACACACAAAATAGGATGTGTTACACGTGTGTGCGAAAACGTAAAACTTTACGCTTTAGTAACACAATATACTATATTATCTTTGGCCTCCCTCAGCTATTCAAAACCCGATACTGACTTCTTTTACAACTTAACTAGATGTTTGATACGTAAAATGGGAATACTACAACGCATTTTGTTAAACATAAAAAGATTTGTATGAATATGAACTATTTGAGTTTATATCTCTTACGTTTGTGATTGATGTTGCGGTCCGAAGCGCCACATTTTCGTGCTCCAAGCTGGCCTGTCGTAGCTTCATCTCTGATAGTGATGTTAAAAGCTCGAGCTTTTGGGTTTCTAAAGCACTTCGAGATAATACCTCCTGCGAAGAAAGGGAAAAAATTGGATATGAAAATTAAATTTTCGATGGTGCTGTGATAAAATTGAAAAGAAGGGAATTATGTTGAATTATAAAATGGTTATGCTAGATATGACCTTGAGAAAATACCCTTCATTATTTTTCCATTTTTTTAAATTTGAGATTTCTTTACGTAAAATAATTTGGAAGAGTTCTAAATGCTGATAATTGTCAATGGAGTTCATTCAAGGTCATATGTACCATAATCATTCTGTAATTCAACATAATTATAATATTTGGAGGTGGAAATGACTGGCCTGGAATTCACTCCTTAAAAAAAATATTCTTCTCCCAAGAAAATGATTCCTTGGGAAAAATATTTTTTTTCTCAGTTTACTATATCTCAGGGACATAGTTCCCCCAGTTTCCTTTGATGTTTTCAAAAAATTGTGAATTTTTACGACGAAAGTGGTTTCATTTTCAGGGGAATCATCCCTTAATTATAATAATCTTTTCAAGTGTAATTATAATAGCATAGTATAAATATTGTAACGAATCTCTAATTTCCCCAATTTCATTCATTTCTTTCCTCTTAACGACACTCCTTTTTGTATTTCTTCTCGTCTCGTTTTTAATTTAATAAAAAGAAGACACTATCAATTCTAAATATCCTTGTCTCGAGTGCGAAATCCACAATATTCATGACACAACAACCAAAAAATTGCAAACTCAGTAAAATTTGATCGAGGCCACACGTTCAGCAATCAATAATAATAACTAAGAGGAATGTTAGACAGTTTTTATTTGAATTTCATCCAGCCACAAGACCTTATGTCTCTTGCATTTCTTTTCAAGAGTCCTTGCTTGTGGCTGGATGAAATGCAACCCCTAAAAGCCCTCAGTGCCACAATAAATGGACCGAGTAATTAATTTATTACCTCATCTATATATGAATAGGTCTTCTTGGAATACTACCTTTTGCAGAACATCCTCCATCTGCCTCATAGCATCCTTCTTCTCTTGAAGAATATTCTCGAGTTCTAAAATTTTACTAGATTGTGCGTCTACTTGTTCAGATAATACTGATACCTCCATGTGTAGGCCTGCTCTTTCGTTCTCAAGTTTTCTCAACCTTTCCTATGGAACAAAAACAGAAGCGAATGAATATTACAATCAAAACAAATCAATCCCTCAAGAATTTCACGAGTTATGGGGTATTAAGAACAACAAATAACGTATTCCAACTTCTTTCATTCGTTTATTCGAGTTTGTTTTATCATGTCAACTCTATCAAATCTGAATATACCTCGGTATTATTATTGTAGTAATTCATGTAAGGATTACTGCCATAATGACACTGAAACTGCTGGAGCGAGCAGTAATGCGGAAGCATTGACCTCTCATGGTCGCAGTAATGAAGATCGCTCTGTGACCTAGCCCTCTGGTCTCTGTCGCTTCTGTTCCTCTGTCTTCTTCGTCTTCTGTCCAATGACAGTGATACTGTACTGGATGTCTTCGAGCTGCTCCGGGACATCTGATCCTTGAGCGTTGACTGATTCTTGCCCGATTGTTGCTGATGCGAGTGGTGATTGACATTTCGATAGTCGCAGGAATCCCTGACAATATTTCGATTAGGGTTGGGTGGAAAAGATTGTTGAGGAATCAAGGGTCATACTCAAAATTGAAGTACCCGAGTGGTGCGCTGATGCAGTGAGCAACTGGTAACTGAGGATGTGAAGGCACATGAGGAATGTTCGCCGCTGTGCAGATGTTTGGAATGTTCTGGTGGAGGGCAATTGACCTAGCGTAGCCCAGTAAACAATTCTATAGTGTTAAAATAGAATGTGGTTTCAATGGTGAAGTGGTGAAATGTAACAGATGAAAATGAGTCGGTTTCGTATCTTTTATTGACTCGGTTGCACCAAGCCCACTTGAGAAAACCCTCAGATAACACTGTTAGAAAATTACTCCTAAAATTCCAAGTAAAAAATCTTGACATTTTTAACAATTACTGATTCACACGACATTTTCGTGTATTTTGCTGTTGAAAAATCAGTTGAATTCTGGCGTATTTAATAGAATTGCAATTTTCAACTTCACATGATAATGAAAATTATTAAATAATTTGAAAATTCAAGCAATAGTTTCCATAAATTTTCAAGCTACTGAAAATTCAGTTGAATGCGATGTTTAATTACCGTAATGAATTTGAAAATTCTAGATGTCATTGACATATCAGTGATAATCTAACATGGAAAACCCAATTATTCTGATTTTCCAAACTGAATGAGAGATTCCACGAACGATTTCATCGCAAATTGAATTCAAATTCACAATATTGAGAATTGAAGTGCAACTATTATTTAATTTTCAAAAAAATTCTAACAGTGTAAGTATTGGAATGGATAAGAATAATGTACCCATCAATTTTGATCGAAAGTTCAGCGAAGGTATTTCATGCGAAAAACATGGTGTATCGTCACTATTTTTCAATAATACCACTAATTATGAAGTATTTAGTCGACATTCACGAACGAATGGCTGAATAAAAGCACTCTATGATGAATTCCTAAAACTCTCCAACTGTGGAATAAATTTACTCCAGACGTAAATTTATTCAGATGATTTATTTGGCTAACAGGGTTTGGTACAATCGGCTCATTGAGTATCAGATTATCCTCATTGTTGAAAATTTCTATAACTAAACAAATATTTTAAACTTGAAAATCTGCATATTCATGTCAAAAAGTTTAGGAAATATGGATTCACACAAATATGAAATCACATATTTTTAAAAAATTGTAGTTTTGTACTTGAATATTCCGTTCTTATTTTTCCTGGCAAATTCAGGAAATTTTACTGCAACATCACAAAATTGCGAAAAAAGTTCTGTTCTTTTGAAGAATTTAGTGCAAATACTTGTTGCAAATCTGAATATTCAATAAAGTATATTAGCTTTGAGTTTTGAAGAATGAATCTTTTTTCTAGTTCCCCATGCAATAAAAAATGAATGGACCTGACAGAGACACCCCTGCGACCGACAGACATCATGATGCCGGCTGGGTGGTGCTGGCAAATCGCCACTCATCCCTCTAGGATAATCCTCAGTATATCCCTGCTCAGATGTCGAAGAAGTTCCATCTGAGTCGTACGCCTCCGAAGGTGTCCAACGGCAGTCCCAGCGTTTTACGGTCGATGTGGCGTCAGAAGACTCTGACGGCGAGTCTAAATTAATAAATCCAGTCACCAGAAAGCCCGAACAGTGTTGAATGCAATGTTCGAATCCAGAAGTGAACCAGTAAAACTTCACGGGGTACTTCACATCACTTGAAATTTTCGAGAAAAATTCATGTGCTAGGCACCATAAACGAGTCACAATCCGCACACTAGGAAAAATTATTGATTAGTACCAGAAAAATTCTCGTGCGGCACCAGAAAAATTATAGTGCCCCCAATAATTTTTCTGGTGCTACACAATAATTTTTCTAGTGCAGCATAAGAATTTTTCTGGAAAATTTCTCTCAGTGGATTATTGAAACTTCAAGATTTTTTATTTCAGACCCAACGGTTCTTATTTTAAGAACCTAATTCAGGTAAGTTGAGAATTCCTCAACTTACTAGAACTTTCAATCAAAACATGAATATATTTATCCAGAATTATCTAATTTTTGTCAATTTTCTGGTGTAGCATGACAATTTTTTTGGTGTTACACAAACATTTTTCCTAATGTGCAAATTGTGATTCGTTTATGGTGCTAACACATGATTTTTTTCTAGAAAATTTCTCTCACAATCAGTGTATTTTTGAATCTCCAAGATTCTTGATTTCAGTACCCAACGGTTCTTATTTTAAGAACTCAAATTCCAGAACCAAAGTGGAGGACCAGAATTTCTCAACTTTCTTGAACTTTCAATCAAAACATGAATATATTTATCTGGAATCATTAAAATTTTATCAATTTTCTGGTGTAGCACGATAATTTTTGTAGCACGTACAAAAATTTTTCTGGTGCTACAAAATAATTTTTCCAAAAAAAATTTCTCAATGTGAAAAATAGCATTCTCCGTTGAATATTAACCAATTTCAGTGATTAGAAAAAAATTATGAGAGTATTCCCCTCATCCTTTCGAACAAAGAAATGTCTGAGAGTCACTCATCGTCTGAATAATCTCAGCTTCAACAGAAGCAGAATGAATTTCTCACAGTGTATTCAACTACTGGATCGCTGAAATAATATTTTCAACCTTTGGGATGGCTCTTGTCGTCCTCCTCCAGGATGGGATCGAGGTCCTGCCGCTCATTGGCACATCCATTCGTCCAGACTCCCTCCATCATCCCGTTCTCTCCTACACTTGGTAACAACAATGAACTGCACTGTTTCCCCAGCACTCTGGGATTCTCCCAAAACAAACAAAAGAACTGCACTTCAATTCTCCCCGAGAGTTGACATAAAAATCCTAAACCAAGCGAAGTCAATCCACGATCGATCAATTAACGTCAAAGAAATCAAATGATTATCCAATCACTCGTGTATCGAACCGCAGGATGATGGTCACTTTGGCACTGATCCAAGAAACACCGATTGAAATCACCGCAAACCCGCCGCGAACATCCAAACATGTATTTCTCCAGGCGTGAGAAATGTTCGGGTGAATGAAAAAAATTTATTTCTGAAATATTGTCCGATGAAAATCGAAATGAGCCGGGACGACACGTCTGATGTACGTCGAGAGCCTTTGAAGACACGTCTCGATGTCTTGGGCACACGCCCCGTGCCCCACAGATTCGACCGGCTAAATTTAAACATCCACAAAATCCTCGAGACTGGCACTTATAAATAGTTTACACTGTTTCTCCCTGTTTCAAATGGGTTTATCGCCACTGATACATCACGGATGGTACATCTTGAGGCAGTCCATGAGGGAGGGACGCCAAATGTTTGGTATATGAGACCATATCAGTGTGATAATAAATCTCTGAGGGGGCTCCATTATTCTCGCTCATTCGGCCCGAGCTTTTTCGAGAAGAGGGAAAAAGCAGAAATCGGGGGGTTCGATGGGAACATTACTTGTTTACTGTTCGTCCTCATCTCTGCTGGCGATCCAATTAGGGAGAAAATGGAGGTCAGGGGATTCGGGGGAACTAATTACTGTAATTAAATTGATGGGATTAATTAATTGAGTAGTTCAAGACCGAATTAATGAACTAATTCAGCGGGGAGAGGTGGAGTGTAACAACAAAACAAGTTCATTTTGTTTGGTGTGGAATTATCTGGGGAATGGGTGGTTTCAGGGGAATTGTGTCGACTAGCACAAGTTTATCTGACATTGGCTTCTAAAACTACTTTCGAGAAGCAGTTTTAGAATTAATTTATTATTTTTTTGTTAATTCCAACTAATAATTCTCAGTTGGTCATGTTAAATAATAGAATTTTACTGCAACATCATGGAATTGTAATATGTTTATCTGAATCACTTGTTTCGTTGAAAAATCTTGCTCAAGTATTCAGTGAAAATTAGAAAATTGATAAACTTCTGGAATTTAAAAAGCTTCATTTGAATTTTTAATTAAAAAACCGTGTTAATGAGATATTCAAGAAATGTCAAGAGTGATTTTCGCTTGGAAGTTGCCTCAAATGCAAAAAAACTTCTTTATATTTGATTCTAAAATTTCTTGCTCAGCATGAAATGCATAAATCAAACAACCCACCATTCCTATGAGTTCTACTTTAAAGGGTCACGAAGGTATATCTCTAGAAAACAGGGTTTTCTTACGATTATCCTCGTGTTTTTCGAAAATAATGTTTACAATATTCCCCAGCTATTGAAAAAAATCCAACTAGCTGGACTAGACAGTTTCAGAGATAATACATAATTAAATGGGGCTTCTAGCACGCGATATAGAGACCAAACAGGGATTATGGGTCCCCCAAATTCGAATTTTCCCATCTTCCGAGAAAACGGTTCTCACGGTGGTTTTGAAAAACGAAAATTGTAAAACGAATCTAAAACGTTCCCGATAAATTCCGAATACGATAAATTTTCAACTCTAAAAAATGGAAATTTCGTGAAATCCAACAATTAATTAACAAATAACTTCTTATTTGATTTAAACAGTTGGTGTTGCCTTCATCAACAACATATGAGGATAGAAAACCTCAATGAGTTACGAGAATGCAATGAATTAAGTAATTTAGTTTGTTTGTTTTTAGGGGCTCAACTTTTGGATGGTATTGCTTTGGGATATACCTTAATTGTAAAATTCTCCATCAAAATAAATTGCATTTTCAGTCCTCGACCTTCAATCACCGACAAATTGCATTTCTAAGAACGAAGTCCCCGTCTCTACTCCAAGAACAAAAATAGGAAATAAACCTTAGGAAGTGTTTTATTACAGTGCAACGTGATTGGCAGATTGATTACTGATACTTCCACACGTACAATAGGGCCGGAAGCCCAGGGCGAGCATCCGGGTGGCAGTTTCGCAGGAACCCTCGTAGAATTCATAATAAATTTTCACTATTTCCCTCTTCAATTCTCTTTTATTTTGAACTTACCGGTTGCATCCACTGCAATAGAACATCCGTGGTGTGAGCATCCGGAGGTGGAGGAGGGGCAGGGGAGTTTTGGATGGCCGCCACGAGATTTCTCGCTGCCTCTCTGACTGAATCCTTCCAGTCTGGAGGTGCCTCGGTGCCCTCCGCACAGGCCCCTTCAACCACAAGGACAAACAAAAATAGTAAATAAGTGTTAGAGATCACAAGCATTACACCTAATAAATTAAAATCCTAATAAATCCTAATTAGGATTTATCCCAATAAATTAACAATTTCGGGAAAATTTATTTTGTACATCAGAACATTTAATTATCATCCATTAAGGAGAGACCTGGGTGGAATTTGAAAGTCATCGGTTAATGAAAATAACTATTGAGCGACTTTTGACAATTTTAGCCCGTACATCAGGCGAAAACGTCATTTTTCGTGTTTTTGGCTTTGAAATGCTTCTCGCACCACAATTCTCATCCGATTTGAACTTTTTTTCAAATTGGTTCTTGGATTCCATGGAATAAAATTAAATTTTTTACGGCTATATCAATTAGATCATAAAAATTTTAATTTTTTAGGTTTACTTTTTTTTTATTCTTTTCATAACGTATAAAGATTATTATCCTGATTAGTTGAACATTAAAATAGTATATAACAGGTGCTCAATATTGGAAAATGGCGAGGTTGATGAATAATCAATTTAGAATAGTATCCCTTTTGATTTATAGAGCAAAGGGATCACAATATATCTATCTATTTTAAAAAATTTCAACATTGAGAATAGGTGGAATCGTTGAGACTATCAATGAATCAACTCCCATCATTTCCTTCCAAATTTCGAAGGCGCTGTTTATGATTTTCGTCCATTTCAAAAACGCATCTGTATAATTTTTCTTCTGAAAACACCTTTTATATACTATTTTGAAGTTCAATTACTCGGAATAATGAATTCTATACGGTATGAGAAAAGGATAAAATGAGTAAACCGAAAAAAATTGTTTTCTATGACCTAATTGAAATAATCGAGAAAAATAACTGGTTTTATTCTATGGAATCTAAAGAACTTTTAATAAAAAGTTTAAATCGCATAAAAATTGTGTGCCAGGAGCTTTTCAAAGCGAAAAACACGAAAAACGACATTTCCTCTGACGCACCGGGTAAAATGGGTTCGGTAAGAAATTTTTCTGAATTTTGAGGTACCCCAGAATAAAAAGTCGTTCGATAGCTATTTTTATCAACCGAAGACTTTTAAATTTCACCTGGGTCCCTCCTTAAAGTGCTGAAGAAAGGAAAATTTTTGTTGAACGAACTGGAAAAATTTGTGTTGGATGAAATCGAAAAGTGCGAAATAAAAAAAGAATAGAGTCATGGGGTATATATCACAGAAAATATAATTATTGGCATTATTATATATTATGAGAGTAGAAAAACTTGGGTGGAACGAAGTGAGAAATAAATTAACTGATGAGCCAGAAATCAAATATATATATAATATTTTCTATTGAAGATTTCGATTGAATCGGCCAAAAACTTATAAAAATCCAATTCTTTTGCGAATTTGCTCGATTTTTCTATTACATTTTTTCGTCCGTGATCACAGAAAATATAATTTTTGTGTATCGAAAAGTAGAGAAAGCATTGTTGCACGAAATAAGACACGCAAAACGCAATTGAAAATGGTTTATTCCTTCAAATACCGGAAATCGATTGAATTAAAACTCCATCAGAAGAAATTTAGTATTCCTGGAAAAATTTTTGTATCCATCACAGCAAATATAATTATCATATAAATTAATTGCAATTATAATTTATATTATCAAAGGGTAAAGAAAATATTTGCAAGAAAAAAATATTCTTGAACAAAATTTAAAAAAACCGAATGAAAGAAATGATGAATAGAAGAGACACATTTTCTATCAGAGATAATGCCGTCGCCGCTTGTTTGAATTGTAAAGATCAATATTAAAATATTCCAACTGCACCGAAAGAAATTAAGCATTCTGACAAAATCTGTTGAATATAATTCGCCCCATTAAAAGATAAAAAATCACGTACACAAAAAAATCAAAACTTAGAAAACCCGAAATCTCAAAAAACGAAATGAAAAAATAAATCTAAAAAATCTAAAAAACCGAATGAAAGAAATTACGAAACAAAGAGACACATTTTCTATCAGAGATAATGCCGTCCATTAGTTTGAATTCTAAAGATCAATATTAAAATATTCCAACTGCACCGAAAGAAATTAAGCATTCTGACAAAATCTGTTGAATATAATTCGCCGCATTAAAAGATAAAAAATCACGTGCACGAAAAAATCTAAATTTAGAAAAACCGAAATCTAAAAATACGAAATAAAAAAATAAATAAAGCGATGGGGTACATTTTTTACCGGAAATAATGCCGTCCATTTGTAGTAGTGCGGCTTCCAGCATTTTACTCGCCTCCGTCGAGGTAGTAGCTAGAAAAGTACTGGATTCCCCTCCTTCAGTTGTGCTCCCTTCCTCACCTTTTCCCATCGTCTTTTCCTACCGACAAATAAAAAACCCCATCAATCCCCAATTAATCCACCAAGATACTCCCCGCATCCCGAATCTTCTAACGAACCCATCAATATAACCCTCCCACGCTTGAATATCATCTTTCCACCGAAAAATAAAATTTCCTCCTCATTTTTACTACTCATTCACTAATTATCCTCACCCTTGAACGCCATAGTGACAAGCGTTTGGCGAAAATTTTCGGTTGAATAACGAAATGAAATATTAATTTTGTTGATCAACAGGTATTCGGAAGCCAAACACGCCCAATATGCCATCCACCATAACACTACATTCGACTACTGTCACCGTTTCTCGCCCTCGCATTACCCCTCTCTCCCCTGGCCACCCCTTCTCCGGACATTCTGTGAGACAATCCATTAAATTGTCGTGTGTTGTGGCACTGATGTCTGACACTCAATAAATAATCAGCGCATTTTTTTGCCATTTTGGAACAGTAAAACCGAAAAGTTTCCCGACAAATTTGGAAAGGCAAACAAGAGGTATTTATTCGTGACGCTTATCTGTTGACTCTTATCGCATATGGAATTTTCTGAAGTGAAGAGATCAGCTGTTTCTGGAAAACGTCCGGAGAATGACATTTTGAATTAACGAGTGCAATCATTGCAAATTTGTTTTACAAGTTTTTATTATTTATTTCAATTGAAGAGTTTTTTTCGGAGATTTTCTGCGCTTCGGAATTTATTGCTTCGGAGCAAAAGGTTTAATTATTTATTTTGTTGATAAAATAATAATTTGTTTATTTGTTTATTTATTCATTATTTCTCGTCGTTAAGTAACAGAAAAGACTTCGGAGACGAAAAATTGAATTCGACACTTGTTGCATGTCACATTCTCATTTCCTTCTGAATCTCGTTGAAAAAATGGTTTGCTCTTTTGAAAATTAATGGAATGTTTAAAATAAAATTACACCAGTATTGTTCACATTCACTGGTTCTCGTCGCGCTGAAAATTTCCGTAAATTTGTGCCCAAAAAACGTAAATTTCCGACAGTGACGAGGATAAATACCGGAAAACTCCACGTAAACACTAAAAAATTTCACTCATCCCGTCTTAGAAAAACGAAACAACGTTTTCCGGAATCGCGTGCCCCACAATGTCAGTTTATCAAAACAATTGTTATTTTTTCACTAATGCACTTCGGAGCAGGTGAACTAAATCATTGCAAATTTATTTTACGAGTTTTTATCATTTATTTCAATCAAAGAATTTTTTTCTGAGATTTTCCTCGCTTCGGAATTTATTGCTTTGAAGCAAAAGCTTTAATTATTTATTTTGTTGATGAATTAATTTTTTGTTTATCTGTTTATTTGTTCATTATTTTCCATAGTTAATTAACAGAAAAGACTTCGGAGACGAAAAATTCAATTCGACACTTGTTGCATGTCACATTTTCCTTGCCCTCTGAATCCCGTTGAAAAAATTGTTTACTTATTTGAAAATGAATGGAATGTTGAAAAAAAATTACCTCAATATTGTTTATATCCACTGGTTCTCCTCGCGCTGGAATTCTCCATAAATTTGAGTTCAAAACCCATAAATTTCCGGCAGTGACAAGGATAAACACCGAAAAACTCCACGTAAACACTGAAAAACTTCACTCATCCCCTGTCTTAGAAAAAGGAAACAACTTTTTCCGGAGTCATACGTGCCCCCACAATGTCAGTTTATCAAAACAATTGTTAATTTTTCACTAATGCACTTCGGAGCAGGTGAACTAACTACTCGTCACGTCTCGCACTCCGTCTAGGTTATGTCCACCACTCGTTGTTTTCACCTCGAAAAACCGTCGAAAAGCCCCTCAACTCGTGCAAAATTCCTCCAAAAATTATTTCCAAAAAAAAAATTAAAAAAAAAATCGCTCCAATAATTCCCCACTCTCACTTGTCCCCCACAAACTGTCGTTCCATCTGCTCCAAAGTCCTTTAAAAACCCCCGAACCAATCGAAGCCGAAAAATCTGAACCCACAAAAACAGATAAAAAAATCTGCTGCACTAACGAAAGCATTCAAAAAAATTCCGGAGAGTCCTCTCGACTCCAATCCCCCCCCGCACATCGCGGCGACCTCAATTCCTCCCGTGTTTACCCGAAAAATCCCTGATAACAAAACATATCCCTAAGACAATAAAAATCCACCAATCGCTCCGAAAAAAAAACACTTGTCACTCGGCACGTATATTTTGTGTACACCTCTCCGACCATGACGTGAGAACAAATAAACAAAAAGGGAGTACGATGGCGCTGTTCATTGAATAATTCCCTCGCACCTGTTGCCAACCTCTGTGCGACAATTCCGCTCCGTTTTCCCAACAAAACTCTCCCAAAATACCACCTCCACGCGAAAGAAGATTAAATTGAAGCGCGCAGGCCTCAAAGTTGAATTGAAGAACCTTAAAAATAATCTGAGATCTACAGAAATAATGGAAAAGGATATTGGAGCGCAGCTCACGTGTCCAGTGGGATTGTCAGTCCTGCAAAGTGATTGTAGTCAGCCTTCGAGCTTCCACTGCAGTTACGCTTGTGTGGGGGCACTAGTCTCGAGAGTTGAAAAAAGACAAAAAAGGAGTTAAAAGAAAAGGGACAGATAAAAGAGAGAGGAGTGAGGACAGAAAAAGGAAAAATAACGCGAAGGATGCGTGTGCGATCGTAGTTGGTGTGAACTGTGTTACAATTTTTTTTTAACCATTAATTCCGAGGAGCTAATGGGCCCATCATCACGAAGTAAGTAATGCAAATGTCGTGGGGCGAGGGGTGGAGAGTGGAAAATATGTTTATCTCTATTCAATGAAAATGTGTGTGGTATCAGCGGAAAAGCCGCGAAAACCTACGTCACATTGTGACGGATTCAGTCGAAAACTGGGACAAAGTGCAGTGCACTCTGGCATTGCGATCTTACCCACCAGGTGTTTCTATGCCGTAATCTTCGCAGGATTGGGTAATACCCCCCTTCAGGTATCCCCAATTGCACCTTGCTATCCCAATAATATTTTCAACACTTTTTTGTTTAAACTACTTTTTCTTTTTTCATGGGTTTGAGGATTTTCGGGGGGAGCTGTTGACGAGTTACGCGTACAGGTTAAACTCACGGGTTGTGACAGGCGGAGGAGGTAATGAGTGGTAATTATTGGGGATTTTAGTTCAATTGATTGGGTGGGAATTGGGGTGATTTTTGGGGCTTTTCGGGGGGGACAGTGGGGAGAGGAGGTGGGGCTCGGGAATTTGGGACTGTTGGGACGGGCTCGGGATACTTTCTGATGGTTTATGGAATTTGTCCCATTTAGGACACTGGCACTGTTTCGAAATACTACCAAGTATGTGGTGAGAATTTGTAAAGAATGATTTCACGAATTTTGTGACGGGAGTTGGGTTGGAGATTTATTTGGGGTCTTGGGAGGGAAGCTCATTGGAGGGAATTGATCATTTGTGATGGTTAAGAGGTTGAATTAGGTATTTCGGCCTGCGGAGTGTTGATTTGAGAATTAAAGTCTTCGAGTTATGACGCTGATTTCACTGATTTGATGGTGGTAATTGGATTCACCCGGGTTTTGGGATGAAAGTTCATGTGAAGGAAGTTTTTGGTGTCATGAGAAATGTGTTAAATTGAAAATTAAAGTCCTCAACTCAGTTAAATCGAAAATTTAAGTCCAAAACTAAAGAGTTATGGGTTGAGAATTTTTTCATGATATTTCAGTGGATTTTTGTGTTGCTTTCGAAGATCGAGGATTAATTGTGAAGGGGGATTTTGGTTTAGGAATTTATGTGGGGTTTTATAATGAAAGTTTTTTGAAAAGAATTGTTCAGTCTCTTGGGCAGTGTTTAATTGATAATTCAAGTCATTCGGTGATGAATTGAGAATTTACAAAGGCTGCTGGAAATTGAGGATTAATCGTGGAGTTACATTTTGGTGCTAGAAATTTATTTGAGTTTTTGTGATGAAAGTTCATTGAAAGGGATTGAAAATTTTGTCATTATATTTGAGTAGATTTTCGAGTTGTCGTTAGACATTCAGGATTAATTGAAGAGGAATTTTGGTTGTGGGAATTTATATGGGTTTTTATAATGAAAGTTTTTTTAAAGAAATTGTCCAGTCTCTTGGGCAAAGTTTAATTGATAATTCAAGTCTTCAAATTATGAATTGAGAATTGACAAACACTACTGCGAATTGAGGATTAATCGTGGAGTTGCATTTTGGTATTCGGGGTTTATTTGGATTTTTGTGATGAATATTCATCAGAAGGAATTTTTTCGTCTCTTGAGGAATTGCTTTCACAATATTTAGGCGTATGAATGAGGTATTTAAGACTGGAATGGGAGAGTTAAATTGAGAATCAAAGGGTTCAGAACTTTGTCATGATAGTTGAGTAGATTTTTAAGTTGCTTTCGTAAATTAAAGATTAATTGCGAAAGGAGATTGTGGTTTTAGAAATTTATGTCTTTATATTGAAAGTGCTTTGAACGGAATTATTCAGTCTTTTGGGCAGTGTCTAATTGAATTCAAGCCTTCGAGTTATGAATTAAGAATTTACAAAGACTACAGGGAATTGAGAATTAATCGTGGAGAGATATTTTTGTGTTAGGGATTAAGGGGAGGGTGGGGTAAAACGGACACTTTAGACTTTTTAAAAATTATTCATAACTCAGAAACAAGTTGATCAATTGAGCTCAGTTTAGGCTCATCACAAAGAGAAAGAATCTTTTTTGTATTGAAAAAAAATATATTAAATTTTATCAACATCTCAACCCCTCATTAACATTAAAAAAAACAAAAGTGTCTGTTTTACTTCAACCTCCCCTATTTAGTTTTTTGTAATGAATGTTCTTTACAAGCAATTTTTTCGTCTCTTGAGAAAGTGATTTCACAATATTTCGGCGCTGGAATGAGGTATTTAAGACTGCAGTAAGAGAGTTGAATAGAGAATCAAAGTCTTCGAGCTATGTGTTAAAAATTTACAAACTGATTTCACTAATTTGGTGATGTTAATAGACTTTTGTGTTTCTCTGAGGGATTGGGAGTTGACTGTGAAGGAAAATCTCGATGTTGTGAATTTATTTGGGTCTTTATGATAACAGCTCATCTCGAGGATTTTTTCGTCCCGAGAAATTGATTTTCCAATATTTAGAAGTTTGCATGAGGTATTCAAGGCTGGAGGGGGGTGGGTGCGAAATTGAACATTAACGTCTTCGGGTTGAAGCGGATTGGAAATTACTTCGTCGATGGGGGTTTCTTCATGAATAATTAATCGAGTTCTTTTTTTAGGGTAAATGAGGGAACGAAGGTAGTGGAAAGTGACCTGGTATAATGTCAGATGGGGTCGATGGTGGCAGCGGGGAAAACGAGGTAGACTCACATTCCTCCGCGCAAGCTGAACCCGGAGAATCATCCAATCATCGGGAGGATGAGAGTTTGGATCCTGATAATGAGGCTGCACTGAATACTAATTATGATAGTAGCGATGGCGCTGTTCCAGTGTTTAGGTAATGATGTATGCAATCCCTTCAACCATTCCATGTGAAAATTAGTGGATTTACACATCACATCATTTTTTGGGAAGTTCTTGATCTTCAAAAAATATCTGTGTAATTTCTATCCAAAACTGCTACTTGACTAAATGAATGAACAAGTAAACAAAGACAAAGTTGATTCTTTGTTGTAGGGAAAAGTTTATTCACTGTTATCAGAAGGAAAGTATCCTGGTAATTATTCGTTGTGAGGGATAATATCAAATAACCTATTCGTGAAAAATTGATTAATCTACAACGACAGTCTCTTGAGATTTTTCCCCAAAATTTAAGAATTAAGAATGTTTTGTGACTGTAGGAAAAATTTGATTGGGCTTTCTCATAAGAAAACTGAGTAGTTTCAGAGAAAAATGTCAGAGACGCTTTGGGAATTCCTGGTTTCCAAGAAATATCTCTTGATACTTTCCCCCAAAATCACTAGTTCTCAAGATAATTGACATTAGGAATATCCAAGTACTTTGGCTATTTTTTCTCCAGTGAAACGCGTTTCTACTTTCGTAGTCTAACATCAAGCTTTCATTTGAGCCCCATTTGACCCTAAGTTTCCGGACATTTTACAATGATTTTATTATTTAAACTTTGCAGGTCTGAATTTGGATCTCGATATTAAACCGTTAGAAAGCATTTTAAAAATTTGAAAAACAGTGACAAAGTTTAATTTTGAAAAAAGATTGATGAAGTAATCTAAAAATTGCAATTTTTGAACATTACGAGCATTTTCTATAAATAATTTGTAAACAATCAATTTTTCACCGTGAAAACAAACAAAATTTTTTCTTCATTAATACGATACTTTATTACTCCCCAATTAAAATATTATAAGATTAAGTTTCATCTTGTTAGTAATGTATCATGCATTTTTAGATGTGAAAGATGTGACAATTACGAAACGATAAATAAAACAGCATTCTGCGCCCACCAAGACCAGTGCCTGGCTGGTGGTGAGGGTGCTGAGAGTGTCGAGGGAATTGAGAGTAATGAGAACGATGGGGACGGTGACGAGGGACACTCTGGACACCGTTCACACAGAAAAATGTTCGAGTGTGACGTCTGCAACATGAAATTCTCCAATGGAGCTAACATGCGCAGACACAAAGTATTCTCATGAACTTTTCAAAGAATACAACTGAAAAATTTGTGTTGAAAATTATTCTCTTTCAACGGTACAATTTTCATTTGCAGATGCGCCATACTGGCGTCAAACCGTACGAGTGTCGTGTCTGTCAGAAGAGATTTTTTCGAAAGGATCATCTGGCTGAACACTTTACAACCCACTCGAAAACATTGCCTTACCACTGTCCAATATGTAATCGTGGATTCCAAAGACAAATTGCAATGAGGGCACACTTTCAGAATGAACACGTTGGTCAACACGATATGGTCAAGTCCTGTCCACTATGCAATTACAGAGCAGCTACGATGAAATGTTTGAGGCTACATTTTTTCAATAGGTGAATAGATCTTTTTCGATAAATTCAATTTGAATGTATGGATTTTTTTTCGATTCATGCCTAAAGATTCTTCAATGAAGATTATTAACTGTTCAATTAACAATTTAATAGTCTCATTAAATCACTAATTTGATTATTAATTGTCTCATTTTCTAATTTTTGTTTTCCCATACACAGTAATGAAACAGATTTCGATGGATATTTTAGAACTTAGGGGAGACACCAAAATCTTTATAAGGAATTTATGTAGATTTCACTTTACACGAAATGGTTCTACGACTATTTGATTAGTTTTGTTAGCTTTCGAGATAGAGAAATGAGAGGTAAAATCAACCTTTTATATAATCAATATCGACCGACAAAAAGATGCAATTGGAATGAATTATTTATGATTTTTAACCCTCAAAAAGGATCTTTAACAACAGAAAAAATAGTGTAATTTCACTGTTTTGATTTTGAGTTTTTTTTCTTCTGTCACAAAACTTATCTTATGAAATTGTGAAACTGAAGTTGGCTGTTTTGTCACTGTCCAACTGAATTCAAAACAATGGAACTATTTTCGTCGCAGGCACGGAATAGATTTAGATAATCCAGGACCAAATAGCTCGTCGTCCCTGTTGAGCAGTTGCTCCCCAAGCGAGGCAATGCCATCAGCACCCCTGTCTGACAGTGGTGACAGTACGGGTAATCGTTCAGCAGACAATGCCACACCACCCATGCACTTCTTGACTCCTCACGTTGAGATATCAATACCGTATCCAGAGCAGGCAGCTGCCCAACGCAATCCCAGTCCAGCACCATTGAATGGGGATAGTCCAAACAGTCCACAGAGTGCCGATAGCAACAGCAATGCACCGAGTAGTAGTCATCATCAGTTACCTGTCAATAGCACTATTCATCGGTAATTATTGAACTAATATTGAAGTGTTTTTTTTATGACGAAAAGTTATAAATTCCATTTGGAACCAATAGATTTGATGAATGCTAATTGCTATTGGGTCTATACATTTTTTTTTAATCAGGGTTTTATTTAGTTTTAATTGTCGTTGTTTACGTTGGATTATTTTTTATGGAATCGTAGGAAATGTACAAACGGGGAAACAATTAATTAATTGAAATGGAATTGGTCATGCCTCAAAATATTGATAACAATACCACAATTCGTTGTTGAGTTACAGCACACTGTTTATGCGATTTGAAAGCCAAAAACAGTTTTTTCATGATTTCCGAAAGAATTATGAATAGCAATTAAATCGGGACTTGAAAAGTATATTTCAATACCTTCTTAATCAAGTTGAAAAATGATGGGAACAGCATCATTGCTTATCAAGTTATGCAATACCATCATGAGATTTTTATATAAAAATGTCTATCTCTGTTATGTTGAATACTTATTCATATTGATTCATGGTCCTAACTTCTGACAGAACCTGGCTTAAACTCTGGCTAAATTCTGAGTAAATCCTGATTAAATCCCGGCTGTATCCTGATGAAACCTTGATGGAATCTTGATTAAACCCGGACTGAAAACGAATTCGAGTCTTGAAAGGGCCTGAATGTAGAATCACTTGACAAACGAAATGGGGTATTTGCGTTGACTTGCATTAAATATTCCAAAAATAAAATGAAAATTGTACTGATTATTTCACCTTTCAATGATATTACTCGTGTATAATCATGTGATCAATTATTTTTTCTATTGATCGACATTTGATAAATAAAAAACAATACGGCCCGGTCGTCAGAAATTAGGGGTCTCGGCTGCATTCAACTATTTCTTAATTTAATTACTCTTTGTTTTGTTATTTTCACTTTCCTTAACCGTCCAGCAAATGGCCTGTCCACCCCAATACGCAAAGTTTTGATGGCATTTTAATTGATGATAGTACTATGACATGAAAAAATAGAAAAAGAGAATAGTGAAATAAGAATTGAAAAAAGAAAACTCATTCGGTAGCAATTTAATAACTATACTCATTTATTTAAAAAATGCAATTGTCCACTTGTTTAAGAATTTTGTCGAGGAAATTTTACGTGGGGATAATTTCAAACAGTGTTACTTTCATATCTAAAAAAAATATTTTCAAAAATCCATCAATTTCCTTATTTTTCAGGAGTGTCGGTGGTAGTGAAGAGGCAATAACACCATCGATATCGCTAATTCCCATAAAACAAGAGCCAAACAGCAACGGAATGGACGATTCTGGTGCAACATCCAGCAATCATCCACTGCCGTCGCTCATAAAAGTATCACCATTGAAATCTCTCCTGCGCGATGACTTGAGACGTAAACTAACAAATACAACAAACAGCAGTCACAACAATGGTACAACAACGATAAATTCCCAAACACGCGGTGAACCACCGACATCAACGAGGCCGGATCCCCGTTCAAGTGGTTTACAGTGTACCTACTGCAGAATAACATTTCCAGATCAAACATTGTATTTTTTGCACAAGGGCTGTCACAGTGAGAGCAATCCCTGGAAGTGTAATATCTGTGGGGAACAGTGCTGCAATTTGTATCAATTCAATTCGCATTTATTGAGCAAGAGTCATCAGTAGTAACGGAGGGGTAATTAATGAGAGGTATGTCATTGGAAAAATGAGGCTCGTTTCAAGGGAGAAAATCGTGCCTTTTTTTTATTATGAAGATGAAGATTTAATGAGAATTACTAATTATTGCCAACATTCACAAAACTCGTCCATCGTGATATGTCACCACACGTTTATGATCCGTCCAATAGGGCTTCACAGAGTTTAAATATTCCAAGCTCTATTTATTAGTTTAAAATTACAAAAAAAAATGTTGAACGATTAGTGAATAGACGGCAGCGCAGGGAACAGAAATATTTCTGGAGAAGAACACGTGCAAAAATATTTCGTGGAAAAACCTGGAGAGTTCGCTAGGAAATTCTATTGGATTTCTATTGAAAAATTTCGCAGCTCATCTGTGCTTTTTTCCAATAGAAACGTTTAATGAGAAATATTTCATTGAAAAAATCAGTACAATCTTATTTATTTGTAAAATTTATTCAAGTGAGATATAAAATGAGACTCAAAACTCTGAGTTTTAAGAAAAATTATGAAATTCATGTCGATAAATTCCTATAAAAAATGTCTCAACATGTCAAATGTCAAATGTCTCAACATTTCTTCAATAGAATACGACAAAAACGAATGGAATTTCCTGTTGAATTTTCTAGGGCCTTCTTGATGAAATTTTTCGTCCGCAAAGTTGAGGAACAAAAGTTGTAGGAAACAGATCGTACTAAATATACCCTGAGACAATGTCAATCAGGTTTTCAACAGGTGGATTAGATTAATCTGGATTAAATTCTTAAAACTTAGCGAACAGGCTGGCAAAATGCTTCAAAGTAGAACCCGTACTCTTCACCTAAAGTAAAAACAGTTCTTTGGAGCACAAATTCAATTTGTCGACTGCGTCAGTACTTTAATAAACTATTCGTCGATTGCACTGAAAGAATCAGAAGAAGAAATACAAAATTACGTAAAAATTTGTCATTGAATTGCGCCAGGAGCTGAAGTGCCATCAACTGAATTTTTGCAGTTGATGAATGGCTGAATGCAACACAGAGGCTTTAATAATTGATATTAATTGGTTGGATTGAAACAAGGGGAATATTTTGTCTTTTAATGAATGAGAATGGAGAAACATGAGATGAAGGGGAGAGATTGACAAATTCTATTGGTTGCACTGATGCCTCTGTTTCGATTAATATTTTATATATAAATATTTGTACAAAAGAGTATTAAAGAAGTAATGGAAAATGTGAAATAAGTAAAATACAGAAAATTGGGGTATTTCACGTATATATTGAATAAATTATATAAATGAAGAAGTATATTTAATCGCGTCACAGAGAAATTAAAAAAATGAAATACTGACACTTATATACACAAACACTGCTGTAAATGGTTGTAGTTATTTAATGATTATTCTGTATATCGAGAGGAAAATATTTAATATTACAGTTTTATTTATTAATAAGTAATTTATTGTCTCGCATTCCAAGAAAACGTAAAAAAAATTGACACAGGATTAGGTTAATTGAGAGAAGAACAACACTTTCGTGGAATTAATATAATACATAGATTTACATATATTTTTGTTCAAAGCAGGATCATCTGAACTCACTTATCCAGCACTCGAAAGCATAAAGATCATTGAACGAGGAACATTAGGAGTTATTTGTATGGATATTTACAAAAATTATGAAAATTTCATGTAGAAAAATTTTATTTCCATAACGTGACCTTGCTCGAGTCTTTTTAGATACCTTTACATAACACACGTGTTCATCATATTTTTGGAGTGTTGAAGAAGAAAAAATGAGTGACAAGTGCCTGATATGAAAGATGAGAATTCAATATTTTGGACAAATGGATAAAAATGTGAAAAATTCACTTTGAGAATATGAAATATTTGAAGTGGACCACCAAGCGCTTTTACACTGTGATCAAGTTTACAAAGAAAAAAAAAGATAGTCTTAATGATAGAGAATAAAGGACGGTGGTTACGAAAATATGATGAATGCAACCTCGTAAAAATTGAATCTGTAATCAATTAGAGTGAAAGAATGAGTTTGAATCGGGGGAAAATAAATTTAACGAAATTTTCTGAATAAAATTCAGAAACTCTTTAATTTTTAGATTGGAGAAACGAACTCATTATCTCATTTTAATTCATTACTGAAGCAAAGAAATGATGAAGAAGCCTTAGGTGCACACCCTGCCCACTTAATCATACGATTATTAAAAAGTTTAATTCTATTTAATTGTATAAGAATGGAAAAAATTATTGTTGATGTTACTACGGTATAATGGGTACAATCTAAATACATAAAAATTATGTATATAAATGAAATTGTTGTCATTTATTGGTCAATTTTTTATGTGGATGGAATACTTATCGTGTTCTCTTGCAAATTGTTCAGCTACGTATGAACAGAAATTTCTCTGAACTCTTCTTGTAGAGAAACAACATTCAGTCGAAAAAATTAATGACATTTGATTTTTCTGTGAAACGTAATCTTTTGAGAGTTCTTGAAGCCGGTGAACAACCCTCAATAATTAGTGATAAAATGTTTTTTACTTTGTTATATCGATGGCCATCCCTGGTGGAAAAGCATTTCACTGGAGAAAAAATAGCCAAAGTACTTGGACATTCTCAGACCGTTTGATCGCTTCGCTACTAAAATGAATTCCATGAAATAAAAAATCAAGACTTCTGTTGACTGTATTCATTTATTGTCAATTCAATATTTCAATGATTTATATTACAATTGGTATTAAAAATCTAATAAAAAATAAATAATCATTAAAAGATTGTGGCGCATCGCCTTCGGTCGCTCCACGTGTCTCGATGCTCGTTCACTCGAGACAACGGGAGCCGGAAGGCGAATCATTCTCCTCCGGGTAATTCATCAATCATGGAGCTGATGCACTGATGGACTGATGTCGACAGACATTGGTCTGGCATACATTGTGTTTATGATAATACAAAATTCAGGAGAAAATGTTTTTGGCGAAAAAATTTGCTCATTCCCGGGTAGTCTTGTGACTGAGAATGCTCTCGATGTTGCGCTGAATCCGGGCAATCTGGGCCCGCTTACTCCTCGGCGTTTCTCCCTCTTCGATGTACAGGTTTCCCCCTGCTTCCGGCCATCCAGCCACCACCGGAGTCTCTCGTTTCCGGTCTGCGAGACAAAGAGGTGGAATGTAACATGATGTTGTGTTGGAGGCAATTAGTGGAAATCAATCATCGTTTAACAAATGTACTCTTCGCATATTATTATTATGATTATTATTATTATTATTATTATTAAAAATAAATAATTATGGTAGTCAATGTCATTTACAAATAGCATTTATAGGGAAAATATCTGATATTTATTCAAATGTAGTTCTTGATGAGTGGAAATTGTTTGAGTTTTATTAGAATTCTATTGAAATTGAATTAAATAGGGGAGAGTGAGGCGAAATGAAACAGTCGAAAAGCGACTGTTTGAAGCAATTCAAAAAAAAAAAATTTTATCAAACATTTTCTTTTATTAATTTTTGTTTATCAACTTTTTTTTATTGTTGGGAGTACTGATGAGAATAATTATTTTCTATTCAGTAGAATGGGAAATTATTGGGAAGTTTTGACGGGATGGGATTCTGCCAATGGATTAATTTACAAGAAAATGAAACAGTAAAATCCAAAGTCGAGAACAAGGCCCAGAGGGAGAAAAAGGAAAATGTGATGCTGAATTTCAATCGAATTAAAAAAGAAAAGTGTAATCAGACTAATCTAATCAATCGAATTATAAGATGAATGGAAAATTATTATTCTCATCAGTACTCCCAATAATAAAAAAATTAGCAAAAAAAAGTTGATAACAAAAAATTTTTTCTTGCTTGAATTGCGTCAATAGTCGTTTTTTCGGCTGTTTCATTTTGCCCTACTCTCGCCTATCTGTTTTTACGCCGATTTCTGTGGGAAATTAAACAACTTTGCCGTAAGATTTTTAATTGATAGATTCTAGGAAAAAATTCAAGAAATTGTGGTTTTTCCACATGAGTTATTCTCTTCACATTATTCTATGAAAATTCTTATCCATAAATGTTCTGGATTTTTTTCTTGCTATTTTTGCTCCTTATTACAAAATCTACAAAAAAAGACTTGGAAAATTCATGTCACAGAATGAATTTCCTATAAATTATTTCTAGGATTAATTTATTAGATAAATTTCTTAGAAAAGAAGGAAATTTGTTTATATGTGTATGGCTGCACGGAATCAATCGGATCGAGATTAAGATTTTGAAAAAATGATTTGACATATATTCTCTTCATTTTTCACAAGGTACTGATTACCGCAATGAACATTTCCAAGAACGCCCCCCTTGTAGGTGGCATTGAAGAATCACCCTCAAAGGTGGTCATTTCCCAAGGATAATTTCCCCCCTTAAAACCGCGTGTTAGCCAATAAAACATACGTCTCCTTTAGTTTTGAAACATATATGTTTCATCAAAATCGAAGGGGAACATCTACCTAGTGTTCCTTGTCAGTTCACTTGCCAACGTTTCAAATAAAGAAGCCCAATGAATTTTTCGACATACGACAGAATAAAATGACTTTAAAATAAAAAAAAATAAGCGATTCGAAAAGCGCAATCGACAAATATTATATTGACGAATTAAGAAAAATTCGATATTTTCATTAAACTCAGCTTTTGACAAGCGAGGAAAATTTTTCAAGTGAAAAAATCGGAAGAATCTTTTACTATTTAACAAATACCAACTATTAAATTATTTTCTCTCGTATACCCTTTCGGGTTTTTACGATTTGTTCCCATCCCACCCCCCAACCCCCTGTACCGCATTCGCCGAAGGACGAGGGAAAACCTCACTTGAGGAAAAAACCTGCCCAGGTACAGTCGTCCCTTTAATTAGAGTGTTAGAAATTTTGGCTCGCCAGCTGGGTATCGAACCCGGGTCGCTCACGTGCCAATCCCATACTCTAACCACACAGCCACGGCCGTCGGTCATACCAACTATTATAAAACCCTAAAAAATTATTTCAACATCTCAACAACCATACTCTTTCATCAGAGTGGCAATGAAGCAATTGCGACTAGTGAGAAGTAATTGTGGTCAATAAACCTAGTGGCATTTATTACAGAGAATCGCGCCCATGGCACATTTGTCATCCAATATAACATCGCGTGATACGAACTGGTGAATGAAAGTCGGACGGAAGGAGTTGGTTTCGTGAAGTAGGAGGGGAGTTTAATAAACGTATATAAAGAGGGGAAGAGTAAGAAAAAAAGAGCGAAAGAGACGAAGCGGCTCAAGCGCGTTTCAATATCTCCCGCCGCCACGTCTGTTGGACACAAGTATACGCATTGTGTACTTAATTCAATGCACGGAACACGCGTAACCGTTTCAATCCTACCTAGACCGTTCATTCAGCGTAAATTATCATTAATCAATTCATTCAATTCATTCAATTTGATTTTCTCTTCAGTCGTCATTAATGAATATGTTTCAATTCCCCAATTCTTTTCGTTAGTCCATTCATGTATGGAAGGATTCAGTAAAACACCTGACACATTTAATAGAACATCTCCATTGAAATTGTTTTTGTTCTATTCATTTCTACTGGAAAATTATGTAATTTTGAAACGCGATTTTTAAAAAATTGGTGGAATATATTCAATTGATATTGGGGCTTCTATACAATGCACACTGAGGCGAAAATTGCACATTTGATGATGGGATGAATTGCAATAAATTTTGCAAGTTTTTACTTCCGAATGAAGGCATTGTATTCATCAAAACCGAAATTTTCTATTTTTCGTGTCCAGATAACTAATTTTGGCCTCAGGAGTTCGAATATGCTATTTTGGTGATCGCTGTCTCAAAAGTGCATTTTTCCAAACGGTTTAGTGTGCGTAAAGCGGTTGTTTTCCGCATGGCGTGCGTAAAGTTCACGAGGCGTGCGTAAAGTTTCGCTTTACTCACTCGAAATTCACTTTACGCACGCTCTTGAACTTTACGCACGTGTGTGTGAAAAAGGAAAACTTTACGCACTAGTAACACAATATACTATTTCATCACTCGTACGTAAAGTAAAATTTTTCCAGACATTGTGAAAAAAATAGGGTCCGACACTTGCGGGAAAAGTGTTCTTTGATCCCTGCGAGAATACTTTTAACTATTTATCTTGATACCATCAAACGTTCATCAAAAATTCACACAAAAAGGTTACGAAATCTTTAACAGAAATCGTAAAAAAACTAATAAAATTTCGAAGAAATTCCCTAGGACTTCCCAGCGAATGCGCTAGGATTGACTATTTAATTTTATCACACGTATTTAATAGTTTCTTTAATCATATGTGAGAGTAAAGTGTCAAAACAAAATTTTCATCAATTCCAATGGAAAATCGAGGAAACAAAACGGAATAATGCAGCAATAAAATAAAAATGAATGAAAATGTTCAGTTGAGTTTTTAATTACCTAGAAGTTTTTCCAGATATTGGCACCTTGTTTCAGGATCCCCTGGGTTCATAGGGGCGCCTGCGCTGAGCTCGGCCAGCTCGGCCTTCACCATTAAATTCAGCCTCGCTGATATCTCCTCAAGACCAGCTGAAACAGAGAAATAAAACAAGACCCTTAAATAATGTGAATTAACTTGAACTGTCTTCTTTCATGAATTCCTGGTATACCGCCGGGGTCTTCGAGGGGAGGCGAATTTCCCCGACCGGATGCCAGAAGATCTGAGATGCTCAAAGTGGAATGAATGGGTGTTGATTCATTGTAACGGAATTTTAGTTTCATCATTTAAAGAAAATAAGAATTCCGTGTTTTTCAGATAAATGTGTTTATAGTTAAAAAATTAATGCGGAAGAATTGTTTGATATTTCCAAGTCTCAATATTCGAATCGATTTCCGAAAGATACGGTTTTTTTGCACTCATATCATAAGTGTTTTGTTGAGCCGAAGCTTTCATTCGATTTCAATGCAATTGGGGTAGTTTTTTCGTTGGAACGATTCCATTTTTTTTGCAATTGTGTTTTTACGTTGCAAACCAATCATTTTTGAAGAATAAACAACACTAATGTTTCATAAGAACCATTTGGAAATGAGTAAAAAATGTTTCGCCGAACAAATTGAGCCCAAAGGCATACAGTAAAACCTAATAAAAGGTGTAAAAACGAGAGACCATTAAAAAAACTTACATGAGAAATCCTGACGCATTAGCCGAAGAATTATGTCAAAAATCTATTAGAAATGTATCAGTTTGATGACAGATTCTGCAGTTCTTTCGCGCGCTTTTTTTCGATTACAAGAATTCAGGAGGAAAAATACACAATAAGAAGAATTAATAGATTGATGAATAGATTTTAGTTTTTTTATGCAAATGATTCAGTTCCGATTTTTTCTATAAAAACGTGTATGAATAAATTTCCTAACACTCGACATTCAACTACACGTAGAGAAATTCTTTAGAGCAATTCTAGTGCTGTTCAAATAAAAATTCTGGGGATTTCTTTGATAACTCCCTCAATTCTAATTTTGACCAGTCAGAGTGCAGTATTCGCTGAAAAGTGTCACATAATTCCGAACATCGCACTCTGTTCCGCCAAAATCAGAATTGAGGCCATTATTCTCCGAAAACCCCTTGACCTTCAAAATTCATTGGATATTTCCCTCAAGCTTCCCTGCACAGAAGCGAATGTGTCAGTTTTTTCATAAAAATCCCTCGTGTTGCACGATCGGGATTTTAAGTCTCCACGGAGAGAAATATTCAATAAAAATTACGTATCTTTTCCGTAATTCCAGAGCGAAATGTGGTTGTAGGAAATTTTACGGAAATTTTCATCTGAATCTCCTGTGAACAATTACGATACCGTCACTTAAATTTTCTGAGTCGATTCCGCAATCGGTGAGTGAATTGTGAGTTCCGTAATTTTTACTGAACATTTCTCTCCGTGTGCAAAACTTAACACCTTCACTGATTTACAACAAAGCTTTTGGGGAATATCAGATCATTTTGGAGATCTCTGGGTATTACCACGGAAAATTTTCCATCAATATAAAACAAATTGCGCGGTGGCTTGGCGCAGTGGTTAAGTTCGTTGCCTCACATGTGAAAGATTCCGAGTTCAAAAATCTTGATTATCATCGCAGCATACCCCAACCGGGTCGAAGCGATATAAAATAACGATAAAAAAAAATATGAAAAAAATTTACGTGATAGACATTAATATTTCCAGTGTCAACACTGGAATTTCCCCTAGCTGGCACTTGCCGTCCCTTATCCCGCGCTGGCACTAGAATTTTTCTAAAGAATTTCTCTCCGTGCAGTCTCGTCTAATCTCAATCAATCACAATTAGACATTTATTACCTCAAAAAAGTAAAAAATTCAATGTTCCGAAGAATAAGTATGATTGCAAAGACTGTACCACTCGGAGATCCTTAATGACTCGTGGCTTGGATCTCAAATTCTCTGACAGCGTAGTAGAAATATCTCTGGTATGCCATACGTGCTCCGGAATGCACCCACATGAATAAACACACGATACGTACACCCCAAGAGTTGAAACAATACAATAAAGAACATGGCAATGTAAATAATCACGCAATTGCAATCCCTCATGGAGCATCATTATGCATTCGACAAATGTTGCACAATATCGCAGGCTGTGTATGATTGCGTGATCAATAAAAATGACAAAGGCAGAGCATGTACGAAAAAAGCGTTACTCCTTTCCCGTCATATATCTTTTTCGAATGTCAACGAAAAAGAGGGAGAATGAGAGAACGTCAAGACGTACCGCCTGTTTGTACTAAAGTGTCACGTGCCATCTGGACACGCTCGTTGTGTGGTTTACGACGAAAAATTTTTAGCATTCGCAAACGTTTCACCATGAATTTTTGATTTAATCGAACTCTCCCAGGATCGATCGTTTGAATTAAGGGTGGGGCCAAAATAAACACTTTTGAAATTTTTTAAAATACAAATGACTTATGAAAAGAGGGGTCTTTCCTGGACCTATGAAGTCTCCTCCCTTCCCTTTTATGATGAGTCCAGACTGAGGTCAATTGGTGGAATTGTTCCCGATGAAAATATTTCGTAAAAGAGCCATAAGAGTGTATTCTCTCTTGCTTATCCTTAAATTTTTATCTACCATGCATTAAAATTATGACATGTTTCCAATTTTTTTAATTTGTGGAGTTGAATTCAATTTGAGATGAAATATTTCATTGAATGCTCATGTATCGCGCAAATTCAAAACAAATTCGCTGTGAAAATTGTACATCGCGTCCCTTTCGACCTGTTACGTATTATGTTATAAAGTAAAATTTACACCTCGCGTTACTATCAACCTATGTACCTTTGAGTAAACTATTTGTATTACATTTAAGTTTATTCATCCACTAGTTAAGTCATGTAATTGGCCTCGGCTGTTTGACTATTATACAAATAAATGAATAAATAAATAAGGAAGTGAATAAATAAAATAAGACATCACATTAAATTACAATTAAACAATTTTCATTGATTATTTCTTTCCCTCGGATGGAGGCTTTGCATTTATTTCTTCGAGATACTCCATTCAAATTGGATGACATCAGAGTGAAAGAAATTCACACTCCAACTTCACACTCGTGAATACTATGTCTCACTCGTATCGAAATTTACTACTTTGTGACATCTGCCTGAAAATAGTGTATTTCGATACGAGCGCGTAAAAGTTGAGGGTCAAAGAACACTTTTTCCATGAGTTTCGAATACTATTTTTCATCACAATGTGTGGAAAGTGGGATTTTGCGCACGTGGAGCGTGCGTAACATTGCATTTTGCGCACAAGTGATTAAAGAAATGAATGTTACATGTGCGTACGAAGAAGTGGAACTTTACGCACTAGTAACATAATATCATATTTCATTGAGTTACAATTTCGCTCCGCGATTACCTTCCCTACAGTAACAATTGCCGCGATTTTCTAGATACTTTTTATCCAACTTTGCTCTCTGAGTAGAGGAAAACACTGAGCAGAACGGACGCGATCCTATAGAAATCCGTTTCATCTCAATGTCGAGTCATCGAGTCCCAATGGAGTCAAGGGCAATTATTGAAAAATATCATTCCTCCTTGTATTGTTTTTTGGGGTCGATCATTCGATACGTTGACGTGCCATTTAGCGAGGGCTCGTATATGATACGAGGACGGGAAGTGAACGGCGTTGAGTTCACGATAATATTCTCAACGCACCGTCGCCTCGCACCCATCGTCACTTCTTGGAACTAGCCGGGCTTTTGACTCGTAATTACGATTCTAAGGATTCCGACATGCTCAAATGGTATTTCATCCCCCTCTTTCCTCCGTCATTAATGTCATTATTAGCGTGATCGTTCGATAAGATCGTGACGTCCCGATTTCCGTCCGGCCCTATCACGTCGACAGTTTAGAAATGTATAATCGGGTACTTGACGTTTTTCTCCTTTCCAATTTCGTGGCCAATTGGATCAATTTATTGAGCCATAAAGAGTGAGTGAACGCCGGAGAGAACTAAACATGGCGTTTGATACGAGTGGGTAGAGTGTATTGAAACGTGAGACGGCATATCCGGGCGCGTTAGGTCGACGCCAAGGTGAGGGATAAGCCGTGATCGGCCCTCATAATGAAGGAGATATCGTCTTGCATTGGAAATGATAAAAAATCTTTTAAATCCGGAGAAACTCTTTCAACAATACCGCGTATTTAACACGCTTCATCATTGCCCGACTGTCTTGAGAGCGAGAAAAAAATTCATTGGGAATTTCAAAGTTGAATTTGAGGCAAGGATAGGGATCTGAAATTCCGTCACGTTTTAAAACCCGTCAGGTCTGAAAAAATGAGTCTCATGTGACGTCAGCTTTTCTCATGACACAATTTCAGTCATTCTTTCCCCTGCTATTTCGAACCAACTACAGCTATACTAGATGTCAATTTAGTGTCATGAATTTTTCGGTCAAAAATTTTCGTCAGATTTAGTAAAAATTTCTATTTCTAATTATACGGCTACGGAACTACGGAAAAGATACGTAATTTTTATTGAATATTTCTCTCCGTGTAATGAGGGCTCCAATCGATCATATATTCTTTCGTATTCCCTGAATATTTCATCGAACTTTAATAGTTATTTGAATGCATCACGTTCCGTCGATCTCAAAACTTATTGTAGGTGGCATCAATGGAATCGTATTCAATGTTATGGAACATATTTTGAATAAAGTAATGCCTCATTTTCGAAGAAATATTTCGTTATCTACGCTCTCTACGGAATCTATTCTGGAAATGAAGAATTACAACGTTAAAACAATGAAATTCTATTTTGATATGAAAGAACGTGCATCCAATAACATATATTCCATAGAACTACGATAATTTACTCTCAGTGTGACTTCTCGGTTTGTATCGGGTACACGGAGAGAAATGTTCAGTAAAAATTACGGAACGCTCCGGAAAAATTCCGTGACAGTTCCGTAAAATTTCCTACAACCACATTTCGCCCCGGAATTACGAAAAAAATACGTAATTTTTATTGAATATTTCTCTCCGTGTAGTTATTGTAATGGCCATGAAAACCGAACCACGTTTCATGACCTCTAGGCACTTTCTATGAAGCTTTTGCAAGGATGTTCGTTCGCCTGTGTGTGATGTGAATAAAATTTTACCCAACGATTTCTCTGGGAAAAAAACAGGTTAATTCAATTTTTTTTTCACGCAATCGATGCGTTTTCATGCAACTGATACCTAATTATTTCTGAGCAATATTTTCTGAGCGATTTTATAGATTTTCCTAGCGATTTTGGTGGCGCCAACCAGACTTGTTTAAGAACTTATTTGTTTTTCTCTCAGTGTACTCTCGAAAAATTCTTTTTCTCATAAGACCCTGTGTTATTTTGCCACTTATGAATTAATTATTATTGCTACGGAATCGAATGGTTCAATCTATCCTCTTCCCCTATTTGTTTGATTCATCTTTGTTCCAAGATTGATTCTGAAGAATTGTCAATAATTAAACCCCTTCGATTAATGCCGAATTATTACTTAATTAAATACAACATTATCAATAATACAATACCGCCAATTGGGCACGAACTCAACCAAAAGGTTTATTCATATCAACTTCGGTTTAGGATTCCCTTCAGATTTTCATCTTCAAAATTTAACTTATGTTTATACAACTTCAATTATGCATCCCACTCCGGAAATAATCATCAGTAAAAAGTGTTTCCCCATTCTCATCTCCAAGAATTTCCAACAAAAAATATCTCTTGCCTCCCCCAAGAGCCCCTCATGATCAAGATAATTTATCATTCAACAGAATGCAAAAAATCGACTCGCCAAGAAGAATCCTGTACCGATTTACCACTTCACTCCTGAATTGATCAATTGTCTCCATTACCTGGCTCAAAATTCCTCTTCATCCGTCGCCATTGCCGGACGTAGATAAGGGCCGAGCATCCGGCAACCATAAAGAATACTATGCAGGCACACACAGCAAGCACAAGAGCACTAGTCTGCCAGTCCCACGGTAATTGATCGTTGTCATTGCTCGATCGCCTCTCCTTCGGCTCCTCCGGCGATATCTGCACCATTAATCGCCGATTCTCATTAATTATGGAACGATTAAACCGATCAGTAGAATCAAGAACATACCTGCAACTGTTGAGGATCGATCAAGCCCTCCTCGTCATCCAGACCGGAGGCAATCAGCTCCTCCTCGATTTCCCGTCGACTCTCGCTCGCTCTCAGTGTTTCCGGTCGTCCCTCGACGTCAGAAACCCGCCACAGCATCTTCTCCGTAACATCTAATCGCTGATTAACGTCGGATTTTCTTCTGCTCCCCAAAAACGACCAGTCCAACTCTAGTGCCGACAGCGGTCCACAAATCGCATCTTTGTGAACCGCACAGGGACTTACCGTGAATTCAGGAGCGCATTTTGTGCAGGGGGTGCAGGCAGATTTCTCTGTTGACCAGAATTCCAATCCGTGCTGACATAATTCGGCATTCGGTTGGGGTGAGTGCAGTTCACTTGATTTGATGCCTTCCAGAGTACTGAGTAACACCAGGCACACTGTCAGCAGCCTGGGGTAAATCTCGCTCGGCATCACCTAAGAAAGAGGAGAAAAAGGATAAAGTGAGTTTATGTCTCGTTTTTACTATCAATTCAGTAGTGAAGTGGAAGAGGGAAATTCGTCAACTTCACTTCAGAACAAATTTCTGATGATGAGTATCTCGGAATCGAAGGGAAACGCCATGAGGAGTTTCTTAGAGCTTCATCACGAAAATTTCGTTGTCTATTATAGATTCAGAGGTATTTGAGGTAGTGATGCCGTCGAGACTAGGCGAGAATTATTTTGGAAAGATCATCACGGTCTAAAAAAACATCGAAAGTTTAGGAATCGTCGTAATCTCGAAAGACATTGGATCGGTGCATCTCGTCACGAACTTGGAAGGATCCATCACGTATGAGTTTCAGTATTTTCTGTTTTTCAAATGTTTGTCTCGATATCTGTCTCGTCTCGTCTCGTGAACTTAAAAAACCGAAAATCTCGAGATTCAGGCAAGATAAATCCTCCCGGAATTGTAACGAGATGCACTGATTCAATGTCTTTCGAGATTGCGACGATTTCAAAACTTTCGATGTTTTTCCGGACCATGATAATCTCTTCAAAATAATTCTCGACTAGTCTCGACGGCATCACTAATTTAAGGGGGGACTACTAGTGTAAAGAGGTCAATTTCTGGGTGGGAGTTAGTTTCTGGACGATGTCAACTTGCATTGAATATTCCATCAATAAATGAAAATTGTATTGATTATTTCACCTTTCAATAATATTACTCGTGTATAATCATGTGATCAATTTTTTTTTATTGATCGTCATTTAATAAATAAAAAAAATGTGGCCCAGTCGTCCAGAAATTAAGGGTTTCGGCTGCATTCAACTATTTTTTAATTTAATTATTCTTTGTTTCGTAATTTTCACTTCAATTAATTTTGTTGCGCTAATTATTCGTTTTTAGATACATATAATCGATCGTCAATGCCTGATAAATCTCACTCCAATAGCCCGTGAATTTTAAAACTCATAGTCATCCTCCAGTTGTGTTGACTTGCGCATTACCAATTTAGTTCTTGTGTTAAAATTTGAGACACATCTTGACCAAAGAATCTCTCATTTGATTCTACAAAAAAAAATCGCTAGTGCTCTGAGATTTCGAGACATTTACCAGAAAAGTCGACGTATTGTGCGAAAAAACGTCACCTAGATTTCCGAGATATTCACGTTTTTGTCTCAGCAACTCCCATTTACACTCATGTTAAAGTGTTTTTTTCATCTGCTCCAGCGACGTCATTTTTCACCCTATGAGGATCATTTTGGACTCAAAATGTGCGGAATGTTATAAATATTATCAGAGTATACATAACTCCATATCGACAGAGTGGTCCCTTTTCATGCGGACGTCCACAAATAGACCCTAGCCTTCAACCACATCCATTTGTTAACAATAACTAATCCTGTCTATCAGTGTGGTTATCCATATCATTATGCGTGGAGATATAAATTCACAATGGGCAATCCAGTCCCGATATCCTAAGAACTTGCAAATTTTACTGGCAGAGTACACGGAGAGAAATTTTTTAGAAAAATTCTAGTGCTAGCACGGGTAAAGAGGCGCAAAGTGACTTTGATTCGGGAAAACATGAATCTTTCCCCGTATTTCTATGAAAATTTCACAGAAATCCCCAGAAATTTTACCAGAAATACCAAGAAATTTTACCTTAACAGCACTAGAATTTTTCACAGTCGGTGAATTGTGATTTTTTCCAGTACTCGTCCTAGAATTTTCCTAGAAAATTTCTCTCCCTGTAAATCCCCCCGCAAATGCCTCAGGAAATCAAAACATTCTTTTCGCTTCATCGTGAAGTGTTCATCTATTCAAATCGTGAAAACTTCCCGCAATTCTCATTCCCAGTTATTTGTTCACAAGAGATGGTGTGAGCAAATAGCTGGCTCAAGAAATTAATTTTGATATTGTAGAACGGAAATGATTCTCACGAGATTATTATAACTCATCACCAGGTGGAATTAACCCATCGCAATTAGTTTATCATTCCATCAATCTTTCAAAATTGACAAATGCAATAATCACCGACCTTGATCGTGTTTTCATTAAAAAATAATAATCATTGAGTGAGGATAAATGTTCGATCTGCGCGACGCTTCTTTCACACTTCCGGCATACGTTATATACGCGTTGTAATTACATCCGCAGTTGAATCGCAATTCCAGGGCCTACGTCATCGCTCTCTCTTTCAATGTCTCTCTCTCTCTCTCTTTCTCGCATACTGTAACACCACTTGCGGGGATTTTAACGTAAGTATTTTGCGCGCGCCTTTCGTCTTTTCTACGTTATACGTACGTGTCTCACGTGGCACCGTTACGCTTTGTGATTGAGTATATACCTTAATACATTCCTAGAATCACTTACAACTAATTATATCACACTATTTTTATATCAAATTAGATTAAAATATGATGGGTTATCATTAACTTTTTTATACGGAGAGAAATTATGAGATACGAAAAGAAGTTGCGAGACTGAGGGAATTTTTATGTCGAATAGGGGGCGAAGAAGTTGTGAATAATAGTAATGATAATCAGCGTATGTGCAAGTTTTTTATGATTTAGAAGAGAAATTTTTCCATTGAGTTGAAATGAATGTGTTGAGTGCCTGATGATATATGCGTTTCTCCGTGCGAAATGATTCTTGAGGACTACAAAAACCAATTTTTGGTGAAGGAGAATATTTGCTGATGCAATTGTATAATTATTGAATTCTTCGCTATTTTGAATTCATTTCTGGCTTTATGGATCTTCATAAGTAATGCTGGGTAGCGCTCCGTTGGTATTTGAATGTGAGAGAGATGAGATTTGCCGTGTTCCATTGGATAAGGTGCACGTGAAGATTGGGCTAGGTTTGCTCGAGTCATTCTGTGATTGGGCCCGCGTTGGGCCATCATTGTGACGTTATTAGCGATTTCAAAGTGTTTGAAATCTTCAACTTTCGACAAACAATTATTAATTAACGAGCAATATTTATAATGTTTATTAATTAAAAATTAGTCATTCCCTACCCCGACATGTGGAATTCAAAAAATGAAAGAATGTCTAAATCTGAAAAGATGATTGGCGAGATTTTTTAAAATTTCATCTGTCGGAATTACACAAATTGAATTTGCACGAGTTGGAAAAATCGAGTTAGACATTGAGAGTTGCGAATTGCACAGGTGGACGTCGGAATTACACAACAGAATTCAAAACACATTGTGTTTCTCATCAAATTGAATATGCGATGTTTACAGTTTAACCTGTGCAGTAGAATCATGTACAAAATGATTTGGTGTACATATGAAGGTGCGAGAGGAGAGGTGTATTTTAAGGTGTATCCCAATACAACACCCTATAGCTAGCCCCTATGGATTTCCAAAAAGAATTTTAAATGACTTAATTTATTGCATTCTCAGAAGTTATTGAGTTTTTCTATTCTCATGTGTTGTTGATGCAGGCAACATTAACTGTTTGAATCGAATAAGAAATGCTTTCATGAAATTTCCATTTTTTAGAGTTGGATATTGTAGAAACTATGTAGTATAGCTAGGTGGAATTTTTTTCAATAGCTGGGGAATTATAAACATGATTTATGAAAACCCAGGGGTCAATCTTAAGAAAAACGTGTTTTCTAGCACCTCGCATTTTGCGCACATTCACTGTAACTTTCCTGTAAATTTATCAATGCCTGTCAACAACCATTCAATCATACAACATTTCAAGTGAAGCAGCAAATCATTTAAACATCCAGAGATACCCATATCCATAAATAATCATTATCGTTAAATTATTAAGTAGTCAATTCGTTCATATCACTCTTAAATTTCAATTATTGAAGTAATCATCAATTCAAATATTCAAATTCCGAATTATTTATTAATCAGTAATTTAGTTAGGAAGATTAACGATTATTGGGATAATCGGAAATCCCTTATAAGAAATTTCGTATTATTCATTTCGTATTATTCATCATCAATCGGAAATTTAGATTATCAATTATTTTACTATTTTTTAATTTCGATTAGTATTATTTAAACCTTAAACAATGTCAGTCGGAAATTCTTTTAATATTGAAGAATCGAAAGATTGATGGCCATTCCATCAGGTAAACCTCAGGTATTAAACATTTCTGTCATTCGCAAAAGTTGCAGAAATTCCATCGAAAAAATATCCCACCGTATTCAAGATTCTCAATGAGCCTTCTCTCCCCCAATATTTCCAACACGTGTCTTTCGTTCAAACCCCAATGCCCCTCACAGTTTATATCAACTCCCGCTCTCGATAAACAAAACCAATCCCTCTGCATACGAATTTGATTCAAATTTCAACCCAGCACCTGGCAAATGCAAAAAGCGAACGAGCTACGAATAAATCGGCTTCCCAGGGTGATTCATGCAGTAGAATTACCGCAACCCCACTCACCCATTCATCACCACATTCTCCCATTCACAAGTACGAGACTGATGTTGAAAAAATGAGAAATATCAATTAAAAGGTCAATCAAAAGCAACTGAATACGTACGATGCCTTAGGTGGTAGCATTCCTGCCATGACGTAATGATTTCCTTGATACAAACTCCAGAATAATGGTCACGAGACACAACAGCACGAGTCAATGCTCCTCCAAGGGACTAGCATCGATTGTTCCCAATAAATCACAAAAACAAATTGAGAAAAAATTCCGGGAGTTGATCCCTCCGACTGTCCTCAGGGGTAATAAACCGATGCACAACAGAAAATCACAAAAAAATCATTCACAACGATGTAATAACTAATTGCACGTACCACACGAGAATTCAAAAGATCCTAATTATCTGATTAATTCAATAAATAAACGGGAAAATATAAGTACGTGTGCGGTCTTTAGTGGGTAACGTTTGGTTGGGCGCTTGGAGAACCGGCGCGCGTTCGTCGGTCAAGCAGCAATCTCAACGCAGTGCCCCGTACAAAACGAGAGACTAGTTCGACGGGTTTCTACTAATTTCCTCCCACGACTAACTGGGTATACAAGGCGCGTGTGAATGCATCGGAGTGAGATGAAAATGCGTGGGGAGAGAGCGAGAGAGACGGAGATTCCGTGGTTTTGCGAGCGGAGGGGACGCTCATGTGGTGGGGATTGAGAGGAGGGAAGTATGTACTCGATGGCTTTGTATCGATGCAACTGGATAATCCTATTTTGACTTTTCTATTTGACTACTTTGTTGGAGCGCTCTCTGAACTTTCGAAAATTCTTTTCGTTGGGCTCTGTGGGCATCGCTGTGGGCCTATTTGGTTTTTTTATTTTTTATTTTTTTTGAGAATATTGAGGAAGGGATTATAATCTAGAAGTGGAATGGGGAAACTTGGGTGACTATTGAATTGTCTTGATAGCTAGCGATTTAGGGATATCCAAGTATTTTTTACAGCTTGGTACAGAGCACACTATAGATTCAAGCATTTTCAATCATCAAATTTGTCAATTAAACTGCGCGAGAAAAAGTTGAATCAAGAATCATGAATATTTAGCGTCATTCGAATTGCATTTTACATAGAATTATTATTTTTTTGAACATTCGCTGTTTGGAAATGAATAATTGAAATTGTTTAAACTTTCGAAAACTTTACGTTTTGAGGCATAAAATGAATTTCTGGTAAAATTCTGAGTGTGAATAAATTTGTTACAATTCCGAACAAATGATTTTTATGGTGAAAAATTGATTGTCTATTAATTATTTATAAAAAATGCTCGCAATTTTCACAAATTGCAATTTTTAGATTATTCCATAAATTTTCCGCCAAAAGTAAACTTTCTAATTTTTTTTCAGATTTTTAAAATGTTTTCTAACGGTTCAATATCGAGATTCCAATTTAGACCTGCAAAGTTTAAATAATAAAATTATTTCAAAATGTGCGGAAACTTAGGGTCAAATGGGACTCAAATAAAAGCTCTGATGTTCGATTGCAAAAGTAGAAAAGCATTTCACTAGGGGAAAAATAGCTAAAGTAGATGAATAAGGAAGGTATACGATTGTCCCCATGTTTTTCATAGATAATGTTTATAATATTCTCTACTCAACTATTGGAAAAAATTCTAAGTAGTTGCATCACACAGTTAAGGAGATAATAAATAATTAAATGTGGGCATTTAGCCCGTGAAGAATGACCCAAACGGGGATTATGAGTCCCCCCGAACTCGATTTTTCTATCTTATGAGAAAATGGTTCTTACGATGTTCTTAAAAAAGAATCCGTAGTAAATTGGTAAATTCTGCATACGGTGAATTTTTTGTTAAATTGTTTAGTACATAGTTTATGCGATATTCAACTCTACAAAACGGAAATTTGGACGAATCATTTCTTATTTGATTCAAACAGTTATTCCTGAATCAAAACTGTCCCGAGGGTATAGCTTAAAATTACCGAGCAAAATGAAATCGTATGGCAGATTAGAAATGCAATGAAAATTGCTCTTTCTTGTCGTTTTATCTCCTCGTGTAGGGAGAAAGTACTATTTTTCTATTGCAATTTTTAATATCACTCATTTTTACCCTCATATCACATATGCCTCCCCTATGCTCCCCCACAGATAACGCAATTCTGAGGAGATCCTTCTTTGCAGATCTCATTTCGCTCTAGAACGAAAGATCTTGACAAAAATTTTACTAAATTATTGTTTCGGGATTGAATGGCTTAGTCTGTCCTCTTCCTCTCTTTTATAAAATGAAAGATACTTGATTGCCATTCTCTAATGTTAAGGAACAACTTAATCTGAGATTGATCTTTGTTTAATTGATTCAGTAGAATTATCAATAAAGACGCCCCTTCGATTGATCCTGGATTATTACTTAATTAAATACAACATTATTATAACTAAATTTTCTTCCCAATTTTTTCCGAATGGGCTTCACTGAAAAAAGGATCCTGTTCTTTTCTCACCAGATTGTTTTGAGCGAATGATAAAAATGAGAATTTGCCCACTGATCTCTTTTTTTCGGGTTTTCCCTGGAGTGGGTCGAAGGGGGTTGGATGGCATTTTGTTAAGACTTCTTCGGGTACGAAGGGAGTTAATACAGACCTCCTCTACCCAAACTCCCCTCACAACCTAGACAGGATATCCTGAAGTATTTTGAGACCGAAAAATCTCTCGTGTTATATCGGTGGTCTTTTTAAAACGTTAACCCACCCAGCATCTGGAGTTGGTCTGTCGTTAACGCACGAGGCAAGATATCTCTACCCGTAGTTTACTTCCTTTATGTTTTCACTGCTCTCTTCCCACGCATCTTCGAATACCATTCAATATAGTCCCTATTTTCGTCGGGTAATTTAAACACTTATTTTTAATCGTCTCGCCAAAACAACTTCCAGTATTTTTTTTTGATCTTCGGGGGTGAAAGATGAGGGAACTTCGATTGACAGATAAATAAATAATTCAGTATAATTTTTTGCCAACTGGAGTGTTTATTTTTCCTTCCTGCACTTGAAAATTGAATGGAGGTCAAGAATGATTGATGAAGAAACCGTGAAATGGAGTAGGTAGAGAATACTTAACAGCCAGTGAATAATGACCACTTCCGCAGTTTCCTCCACTTCGTGAGAAAATTTGGAGTACATGTGTCCCAAGTGTGTCCGGAACCACACCTGCACTGTCAAACTACTATAACGACCTTACGACCTCACCGGAAAGGTCGGGCCTCTTATTTTTCCCGAGACTGTTGAACGGAATAAATCTGTTCACAGGAAATACCGAGAATAACTTAAAAGAACTACGAAAAAAGAACGTCGAGAGTAAGAGCACTCCTCTTTCTCTTTCCACTTTAATTCAGTTGTGAAGAGGTATATAATAGGTCAATTTAAAGACTCTTATCTATTGTTTGTTTATTTTATAAAAGGGGGATGTTAGGAAGAATGTGAGAAAATCTTTCTTGTTGTTTTCTCAATAAAACCTGCTTTTTTATATGGGGGGGGGGGAGTGAGGCAGAAGGGATCATCTTTGATCGTCAAAACGGATTCAATTGTTTTGTAATTCCACTATTGAATTAGAAAATGATTGCAGTTGTTGAAGAATATTTTTTCATCCCTTGTGCGTAAAGTGAAATTTGACGCACGCTCTACGTTGTGGGCACATGCGGAGATACATGAAGTGGGAGGGAAATGCGTACTTTGCGCTCGCCGGGGAGAAGTAATATATATTCTCTACCTAGGGGAAGAAAATAAAGGTGTCGTGCCCACGTGCAGAATTACCACCAGAGCCGAAGGCGAGGATTGTAAGCACATGAGTAAGGTTCCTTTATTTAATCTCCCGTGGTGACTTTACGCCCGCCGTGACGAAATAGTATATTTCGTAACGAGTGCAAAAAAATATATTGTATTCGAGTCAACAGGCAGATTTTTTGTGGTGACATTGTTGATATCTAATCTGAACGAGATTGATTTTTCCATGTTTCGAAATAGAAATTGGTGCAGATCAGTTTGAAAGCTTACTACCAATGGAATTGGTAGAAATGAAAAAAATTAGAAAATCGAAAAATCGATCAAAAATAATGCTTCCATTCGGAAGCAAAAAGAAAAAGAATTATAAGACATAAAGCAACAGTCAGATGGCTTCTACCGAAAAGGCTCAAATCTTTGTTTTAAAATAAAAACCTGGTTTAAAAAAAATCGCAATAATATGGATGGAGAAATTTGAAGTAATGATAATAATTATCATTCGTTTCCATCGTTGGATCGTTCGTTTGGATCGTTTTCCCATTATCATGAGTGATTTTCTCCACCTTCTGTGATAATTTCTATTTTTTGAGGGCCAAATTCACAATTTTTCATCCATATTTTTTGCAAAATCTTTATCAATTTTTCTTGGAGTATTGCATGAACATGTACGAAATTTGTTCACCTTGAAAATAAGTCTCCGGTAGTATAGTGGATTAGTATCCCCGCCTGTCACGCGGGAGACCAGGGTTCGATTCCCTGCCGGAGAGATTTTTTTTCTGTTTTAAATGATAAAAAAATGAATGCATTTTCATAGCAAGTGAAAACGAAAGATTTTTTATGAAAAATTCCAACTGTTTGTGTTGTTTATAACAATAGTTGGGTTGAGAGAGCCAAAACAAACTATTTTTCTGATAAGGTGATGGTTCAACATTCAGAACGATGATAAAAAAAAATAATAGTGTAACAACAATGCTGATAAATTAATCAATAACAATTTTATTGAAAAAGTCTTGCGCGATATTTACTTCTCTGCATTACCGACGGCGAGATAATGTGGTGCGGGGCATATTGAGGAGCTCTCTACTCTTCTTGAGCGACGAAGCTTCTACGAACTAATCGTAAGGTCACATGTGCGACAGGTCTCAACTTGCGCGTGCCGGTGTTTTGTTGACGACGTCAATTTGACATCGTACAGATATATGTTGTGGGAGTACATCGAGAATAGGCACTTAATTATTTATGTGTGTTAATCGAAAAAGTGAAGTTCTGTGAGATATTCTGAGGATTTAAGAGCCAGAGAGTCATTCGAAATGGGTCCCAAGAAGGAACAGGTTAGAATGTCTAGTCTAATCATGTTGCATTTATGGAATTGTATATGAACAAATGAACATCATTCAATAATTATTTACATTTTCATCACTTTGTTCATATTTAATCCAAAGTTGCATACCTATTTTCAATGCTGGAACTGGAAGTCCCAACCTCGTCCACAGAATCATTCTTCAATCGTCAACTCTTCCGCATTACTCTCTCAACTGTAGGGGAGGTTGGGGTAAAATGGACACTTTTGACTTAAAAAAAAATATTAATAAGGGGTTGAAATGTTGATAAAATTCAATAATTTTTTTCCAATACAAAGAACAATTCTCTTCCTTTCTGGTGAGCCTAAACTGAGCTCAATTCATCAATTTGTTTCTGAGTTATGAATAATTTTAAAAAAAGTCTAAAGTGTCCGTTTTACCCCACCCTCCCCTAGTATTTTTAATTAATTGTTGATAGGGCCGCACTGTGTTCATCATAAATGTCGCAGTGCCCAGTAAACAAGGACTGGACAATGATTATCTGAAGAATGCTAAGGAGCTCGTGAGAAATATGGTAGAGAAGATGGTACGTCTATTTTAAAATGAGATAAATCAATACCACCAATGGCTCCAGCAATTCCCTTCACAATGCTACTTTTAGATTTTTAACACACCGAGGAGCGAAGCAGGTATTGTTCTGATCGGCGTGGAGAATGATTCTGGTCCCCTGGGCATGATGAATCTCCAGGAGATTCAAACGGTTTCTTGGGACATGGTGAAAAAGATCGAGGAAATACAGAGTTATGAGGGGGTTTTCTCGAAATGGCTCGGGGGATTCAAGGCTGCTCTGAACGTTATCAACGAGGCATATGGGTAATTTATCAGGAATTCTATCTTGTTCTCCAATTCAGTAGCGAAGTGATAAAACGATTTAAGGATATCCAAGTACTTTGGCTATTTTTTCTCCAGTGAAATGCTTTTCTACTTTTGTAGTCGAACTTCAGAGCTCTCATTTGAACCCAATTTGACCCCAAGTTTCCGGACATTTTGCAATGATTTCATTATTTAAACTTTCCAGGTCTGAATTTTAATCTCGATATTGAACCATTGGCAAAAATTTAGAAATCTGAAAAAAATGAGAAAGTTTGCTTTGGGAGGAAAATGGAAATAATTTAAAATAATGGAGAAATAATTAAAAAATTCCAATTTTTGAAAATTACGAGCATTTTCTGTAAATAACTCTGCAAGATATCACCCAGAAGGCAGACAACTGAGGTACCCTGGTGGTCAGAGGATGTGCTTGGAGAACTTAGAAAGGGAACCTGAAGGGCTTTTAACAAGGCAAAAAATGTGAGGGAAGGCCCCCGTAAGGAAACAGCCTGGGAGGCCTATAGAGGCCTTTTCGAAGAATATAACAAGGAAATAAAAGCGGCCAAGGACAGGTGCTGGAAGGCTTTCACGAGCTCGATCGAGGGTCAGTCAGAGACTACTAGGCTGGCAAGAATCCTCGGTACAAACAAGACTGCATATCTAGGGAGCCTGCAGGCACCTGATGGCAGCCATACGGAAACAATGGGGAGAACGTTAAAACTCCTTTCCAGGTTTCACTGAGACCCAGGGAAGGGAAGAGGAACCAAGGCGGAGTCAGAGGGGAGAATATGAACCTCATGACCAGAACTTGGCCGGAAAAATAGTGCAACCGTGGGGAATGATATGGGCTGTAAAGACCTTTGAACCTTTTAAGGCATGGGGACCAGACGGGATCTACCCAGCCTTATTACAGGAGGGGATAGAAATCATCGTTGGGCCTCTAACAAAAATTCTCAGGGCCAGCATAGCCCTGAGAAATGTTCCGAGGGTATGGAACGAGGCCAGGATTGTGTTCATTCCACAGCCTGGTACGATTGGGTATATAAATCCAAAAGATTTCCGTTCAATAAGTCTCACATCCTTCATTTTAAAGACGCTTGAGAGACTGGTGGATAGGTTTATAAAGATGAGGCCCTTGGTTGAGCACTCCCTCTCTCCCTCCCAATGTGCTTACAGGGAGGGAATACCTACAGACCGCCTTACACGATCTGGTGGGACTTATTGAGGGACAATTTGCTGCCAAGGGATACGCCATGGGGGCCTTTCTAGACATAGAGGGAGCTTTCGATAGCATCATTAATGCAGTCATTAAAAGAGTGATGGAAAAGCATGAGATCTCCAGGACGATGTGTGGAGGGGCGCCCAGCCAGGGGATGTCCGCAGAGAGGAGTCTTGTCGCCTCTGCAGTGGAACCTGGTGGTGGACGAACTCCTAAACAGGCTGCGTGAAGCAGAGTTCCACGTAACTAGCTGTCAAAGCACTGGAGAAGGCCAGTACAGAATCTAACGTGATGTGGGAGCGCATACAGGCACTAGCCGCATTAACTTATAAAGAATCAATAAAGATATCAAAATATTTTCATTTTTCCACCATAAAAATCATTCGTTTCGCAACGTAATAAATTTATTCATATGCAGAATATTCATGATTTTTTTCAAATTTCTCTCTTGCAATTTAGTTGATAAATTTGATGATTGAAAATGGTTGAATCTCTAGCGTGGTCTCTATAGTCGAGCTGAGTTCTCGAGGAGTATCTCCGAATCTAAGAGAGATAGCGAAATTTTCGTAGAGACTTTTTTGTAAATCGACTAGAGTTGCAAAAAAAGGGTATAACGAAAATTTTTCTATCTGAATCTAAAGCAAAATTGAACGGAATTGTGTGAACCTGAATGTCATATTTTGTGTTGCAGAGAATTGAGAAAGTCCAAGATTGTGCTCATCTCAGATTTCCCACCAGACCCGTCTCAGACGTTCAAACAGTTCGAAGGCATTGTTGAGAAATTCAAGGAAAATGGCATTGAGTTAATATGCGGGTGATTATCCTCGTCATATTGGGGACATTTCTCGGGGACTAAGCGGGGATGAGCCTCTACAAAACTTAATTATGGAATTTTTCTTGTCTTATTTTATAGTGGCACTAAAGATTTGAACGATGTACCGAGGGAAGAGCTCAATACCAACGAGCAGAAGATATTGGAGTTTTGTAAAAAAGTAATGACATGTTCGCAATTAGGTTAATCTTATTTTCTTCGTGATTTGGCTTCTATTGCAACAACAAGTGATGATTCAATTATATATAACTCTATGCAGGGATATACAAGTACTTCTGTCATGTTAATTTCGTTGAAATGTTTCCTTTCGATCCTTGTTTTCTAGGCATTATTCAATTATTTTATTCCCCAAACTTCGAAGATCCAAATTTATCTTGTCATTCTGAACCCTTAACAAAAATTTATAAACAAGCAATTTTCCGAAAGTTTTAACAATTTCAATTACTTATTTATAAGCAGGGAATGTTTGAAAATATCGTTTTTTACAAAGCGTTAATGACTGAATGGATATTCATGGATATGAATTTTTCCAAATTTTCCTCACACAATTTGATTTTCATGTTGGATGATTGGAAATCTCAGAATTTCGAGTATGATTCCCAGCAAACAATGAAAGATATTTGTATATTCTGACTTCTTCCATTTTGGTTTGGGTTTACTTATTTTTTCTAATGACAGAAAAAAAATTGGTACATCAAACCAATTCCAGGTTGAACAAAATGTGGAAAATTGAGGTGTACTGTTCTGTTTTGGTCTATTCGACAATTGATTCGATTATTTAAAATTGAAAAAATTGCAGTCATAATTTTGGTTTTTAATACTCATTCGCAGGTGGAAAGTCGGTACCGTCCTCTCGACTATATGCTCAAAGAATCGAGGTTCTACGATGAAGAACGCACGAGATTCTGTCCATGGAATTGTGATTTGGAAATACATACCATTAGAATTCCTATCAGAGTAGCTGTCAGGGTGAGTGAACCCTCCAATGGTATCCCATTCCTAATGTTGTAAAATTCATTTTCACATTATGACCTCAATTCTTCATTTGTGGCTGTCTTTTCTGCAAATGATAATTTCTAGACTGTAAAATAATGTTAAATATTTGACTGAAAACAACTCGTCAGAACTTGCAACAAATTTCGTTGAAGATAAATAAAATAAATAATATCGAGGTTTATTCAGGCCTCTAAGAACGAGATGAAGAAACCGTGGGGACTGATGTCAATAGCAACTGAAGATGGTACGAAAAAGGAGGCTCCACAGGCAGTAGAACGAAAGAAGGAGCTGGTGGATCGCAACACGACTGTTCATGCGAAAGAGGACACAGTCAAAGGCTACATGTGTGGAAAGACATTCATTCCTGTTACGGGTGTGTATGAGTTATTACCTCTAATCTGAATATAACGAATGAGCATTATTTTGAACATTGGAGTAATTGTTTCTGTGATCCAGAGGCGGATGAACAAGGTATGGAACTCCCTTTTGAGGAAAAATCTTTCAAGCTGTACGGCGTTACCAACGCGGAGACAGTGTTATTCAGGTACAGGACTGGTCCTTCGACTTGGCTGGTTCTTCCTCAAGAGGTATAAGTTGAGGTTTTTTATGGAATGTAAATGTATACTGAATATTGAAAATATTAGATGTAGGAAGGTGGGATGAAATGAAGACTTCAAACATGTTGGTCAAAACAGTATAGGTACACATAACGTTAATTTGGAGGATTAAAAACTGAAATCAATTCTAAACGAAAGTTAATGTGAATAGAAACATTCTGGTTGAGTTTGTGCTCAATGAGCAGTCTAGTATTATTGATAATAATTGATCTACAGGTGCAAAAATAACGCCGAGTCTTATGGGGAACAAAGGAGGCTTTTTGAATTTATTTGTCCTTGTTACACTGAACAACTCAACTGGAGTTAATTCATGCTCCTTTAATATTCATAAATGAGGACTAAATTGATTGAGCAGCGATTGAATAAGGTCTTAACATTTGAAAAAAAAATCTTGAGTACAAAAATTCGTTGCTAACACTGCAAATTTAATTTCCGCATTTTATTATTTTATTCAGCAGAACAACAATGCCAATAGAATTACAAGAACATCAAAATTAAATTGTTCACTAGAAAACACTCGACTAATTTGTGAATTAATGTTTAATGTTTAGGGGTATGAAGAACCTTTCTTCTATTTCCTGAAGGTAATGGGGAAATTGAATCTTGTTGCACTCGTTAGGAGAGTCTACCAGAATGGGGGTAAAAATCCAACGATAAATAGTTTGACACCATGCATACAGGATCCTGAGCTGCCCTGGGTAATATTCTTCATATCCATAGTTTTCATCTGTTCATTTAAGGAAAATTGTCAAGAAATCGAACTACGAATCTACACCGATATAAAAATTGAAATTTCGTGGGTAATTGGCTAGTAATTTTCAGGAGAGTGACATTGAATTCCAATTAGGAGAAAAAAATAGTAAAATTTCAGATATAACTGAAAATTCAATGGAATTGCAAATTTTTTTGCAACACGAAGACGAAAATTTGCCAACCCATTTGAATTTTTCATCAAAATATGAATATTTGCCACCAAAAACCGAATTACACTGAATGTTCCTCATTTCTATTAATTTTCATGCAATAATTGAACTAAAATTTCCTATTTCCATTGCTTTCTCGAAATTTTAGTGGAATTACAATGTGATAAAAATTTCCAAGAAGTGCATCCGAAATTTCACTCAAAAATTCTTAGCAGTGTATGAATAGTCTGTAAAGAAGGTCTTTCGAAATTTTTTACCCTAAATGAAACTTCAGAATATTCGCCAATCTCTTTTGAGTTCATCTCCTGTCATTTAAGGATGTTTATCCAAAATCGCAAGTATTAAAAAAAAATTGATTTTTTTTTCAACTGAGAGATGAAGTTATTCCCTTTATCTTCATAAAAATTTCAATCCACCACCTCACGTTTATTATTTAGAAACGCAGTGAACAAAATGCACTAAACGCATGCGCTACCATGCGCTTATAATGGGATAGAATCTTTCAAGTATTTCCTCTTTTTGCCCGGGTACCACAAACTTTTCTCTGGCCATTCGATTCAGTATAGTTTTACACATTACCTTCTATTTTTGTTTTCATTTTTAGAGTCTTCTAGTAGGCGAATTGTAAATTTCAACATAAATCCCATAAGAGCCCGTGTATAGAGGAAAATTTGTTTATTTATTTTTGGCGAGACTGTTGTGATTAATGTTTTTTTAACATCAAAGAACTTGTTCTGCTAGCAGAAAATGTTCTGCTATCAGCCAAAAAAATTATAGAATTTGCCTTGAACATGAAATAAATAAGATTTGCTGAAAATGGCTAAACATCCTTAATTGCCCTTAGTGCTTCGTAATGCATCAGCTGATATTCACTGAAGAAGAGAGCAGGGTGGATGTCCAGTCATTGGACTCAGTGATACCGAACTTGACAAAGAAGGAGAAAGATGCAGTTGGGGATCTCATTGATGCAATGTTCGTGGGGAATGATGGAGAAGAGCCTACAGAGCAGTTTATTCGAGCCCCTGAACGCCAGCACCTCTGGAATATCAAGGCATTTCGAGCTCTCCACCCAGACGAGCCACTTCCTCCTCCTAAAGACTACCTGATGGCCCGTCTGGAGCCTCCGAAGTCCATCGACATGGCAGAAGTGAACTCTTGCATGGAGCGGTTGATTAATTTGTTCGAGTTGAAGCCTGAGGAAGTTGTGCAAGTTGTGCAGGAGAAATCTGACATGTAATAATTCATTAATTATGATTAAGTAGCGAAACGGTAAAACGGTTCAAGTCTATTTTGATTATTGGCCAGTTTTCAATGAATATCTCGGAATCTAAGGGAGATAACAAAATTTTTACCATTACCTTTTTTGTAAGTCTTGATTTGCTCCATAAAAAAGTTCATTACGATAATTTTGTTATCTCCATTAGATCCGGAGATATTCCTCGAAAATGCAGCTGAGAGCTAAATAGACTTGGACCGTTTTCATTTCTCCTAATTCGTTAGAATTGAAAAATACCGCGTTAAATATTTTTCATTCAGTAATTTTATGAACTGGAAAAATTTCCTGCGGAACCGTAATTGCCTCTGGCTCTTGCGACCTCTAAGCGTTTTTCAGTTTTTCAACCTTTCGTATTTGATCAATTTTTACCAAAGGAATTCGTGCAAAATTCTTGTTATTCACAGAACGAATGGAAGATTTTCTAGAATGTTTTCTGTCGTTTCAGGGAAGTTGATGGTGTGAATGAGATTCCAGGCAATCTCGAAAAAGGAAATTCCCAGGGACTTCCAGTAACTGATAAAGTGATGATCGAGAAAACGGAAAAAAATACACAGGATTCTCAACATCTGAGTTTTAATGTGGTACGTATAATATTCGTGTGTAGAGTGGATATAAAATAAACTAATTATTTCATTGTCTTCTTTCCAGTTTGATGGTTAAAGAGTGATAATGCTGCTAAATTACTCCACATATTCCTATGGTCGTACAAAAAATATGATGTTATCAAGAATGGAGGATGTTTAGATATTTGAGAAAGTGTAAAACTGAGTGTTTTTAAATACAAACAAATATTTTCGGTAACTCTCACTACTTTTATTATCATCCTGAAAAATGATTCGTCAATTTACGTTTCATTTTTCTAGAGGAAAATGTACTCAGAAGATTGCCTTTTCATCACAGAGTGAAATAAATTCCCTCATCAAGAAGCTAAACCCCATTGTCCTCCTAGACAATGTTGTCACAACTCTGCTTTTCAATTGAAAACAGACATCATGTTTAGAGACATTTGTCATGTTTAGAGGCCCTAGCACGACATTTCTCGAACCGCTCTTTCATTTGAGCCCAAAAAAACATTCATATCTTGTCTGACATCGCTGCTACAAACTCGGGTCTACAACTCGGGCCTTCAATTGAAAGCCCGAGTTGAAGGCCCGAGTTTGTAGCAAAGATGTCAGACAAGATATGAATGTTTTTTTNTCTGCTTTTCAATTGAAAACAGACATCATGTTTAGAGACATTTGTCATGTTTAGAGGCCCTAGCACGACATTTCTCGAACCGCTCTTTCATTTGAGCCCAAAAAAACATTCATATCTTGTCTGACATCGCTGCTACAAATTCGGGTTTACCAACTCGGGCCAAAAACGAATGCAATTTCTACTCTACCGACACTTTTTGACCGACTGCAAGGACCATGCACAGATGTGGTTGTGTACTGTTGTTCCCTCACATTTTTCACAAATCTGTGGACAGCCGTGGATATGCACAGTTATGGAAGTACGAACGCCCCCCCCCCCAAACTGCTCTTCTCTTTTTTTTTCGTTCTGTGGTATAGTAAACATGTCAATACTACTTCATCCCAAAGTCACTGATAATTATCTCTAGTCGATAACATAGAGATTTACCTTTTTGCTTCAACACTAGCCCCCTAGTGTTGTATTCACTCCCTAAGACTTGTGATGGAAATAGAAATAATGTAAATAAACAAAGTGTTCTTTTCCTTTGGGAATATTTATTGAATTCTTGACACGAACAATTAATTCACTCGTGTCGAAATGGATACAACTGGTGAGTACATAAAAAAATGTAATAAACATTAAAAAAAATCGAAGTTCTCGAATTTTCGTATGAACGAAAACGTAACCTCAGACCTATAAATTTCTCATTCCTCCCAGAAATAGAAAAGAGTCTCTTGATAATAATTCTGGATGTCAATCCAGTCCAGCGAATCGTGAAACAAGAGGCGAAAATTCTCACCCAATGTATAGACTCAGTAATAGTATTCGCAAACTCCCACCTGATGCAGGCGTCCACCAATGATCTGGGGCTGATAGCCTGTCACGGTCAGGGTGCGAAATTCCTGTACCCAGAGACAGAGAAATCGGTGGAAGTTCGGCAATTCGATGGTCAGTACGAGAAATTTACTCTAGTGGAACGCACAGTGCGTCAGACACTCCAGGGGGTTATCAATGAGCTGATAAACACGAGGCCTCTCAATGGCGAGAGTCTCATCTCTGGTGCTCTGTCATTGGCACTTTGTTATATTGCGAGATTAGAGAGGGAGAAAACTCCTGGTGAAAAATTACACTCGAGGATTCTCGTTGTTACTGGGAGCAATGATTCGGCGACGCAATACATGAATTATATGAATATTTTCTTCACAGCACAGAAAATGGTAAATGTATATCAGAAATCTACGGGAAACTCTTTTTTGGTTCTAAATACTTTGGAGGGAATATTCAGTGAAGTTTAAGGTGTTTCATGTGAAGACAAAATAATGACAAAAAATTGGAAAATTCAGGGGAGAAATGTTGCATCATTGAGAATTTTTGCACATTTTTTTCAGATTTCGGTTTCAAGAAAGAAAATAATGAAATTGGGATGTTTTTGTAACCCCGAGGTGATCCCACTCAAAAAATAATGAAGTATTGAGGAAAAACTAGTGGGTGATAAATTAAATGTTTCTTGAAAACACGTATGTTTCCGATTTTTTAAGATTTCATGAGAAAGTTATTTGAACAAATGATTCGAAAAATTATGAGTATCGGGGCCTTCAAGCACAGCCGCGTGATTCGAATGCCAGTGAGCATTTTTTTTCTCAACGAGCTTTTTATTCATAGAAATAATAGTCACTACACTCACGGTTTCATTGCGGAGCCGGAGTCTCGCAAGAGACGACTGTACCTGGGCAGGTTTTTCCCTCAAATGAGGTTTTCCCTTGTCCTTCGGCGAATGCTGTACAGGGGGTTGGGGGTGGGAAGGGAACAAATCGTAAAGACCCGAAAGGGTACACGAGAAGAAAAAAAAAATAACAGTCACTATATATTACATACAACTCGAAACGCATTTTAATATTATTTCAATAATTAAAACAACATTCAATAAAAATTATTTCACCCCCGTAGGTGATGATAAAAAATCAGTCAATCTGATAAATAAAATCAATATTAAAGAAATATTCAAATGCACACTTAAATAGTTACTTGAAAATTGGAAAATTTTGTGCTCAACGATTGCATCAGGGCTCTAGAACAATAAGACTCATCTTCCGTTTCACCCCCCCCCCCGTGAACTACACACGAAACACCTTAAGGGGACACTACCAGGGATCAATTTTCCGATTCTTCAGTATTAAAAGAATTTCCGGCTCACATTGATCAAGTTTTAAATATATTAATCGCAATTTAAAAATGCTAAAATAATTGATAATCTAAATTTCCAATTGATGATGAATTAAATATTTAATAATATGGATCTGTAAATTTTCTACTAAGTAAATAATACTAGATGTCTTGTAAGGGATTTCCGATTATCCAAATAATCGTCAATCTTCCTAACTAAAATACCAATAAATAATTCGCAATTTGAAAATTTAAGAATGATATCAACTAATTGATTGCTTAATATTTTAACGGTAATTATAATTTATGGATATGGCTACCCCTGCGCTGAATATTCATGATTTTATTCAAATGTTTGTCACGCAATTGAATTGACAAATTTGATAATTAAAAATGGTTGAATCCTCAGCCTGTACCACCCTGTAAAAGACACTTGGATATCCTCAAGTCAAGTGTTTCATTCTCGAAGAAAACTATTGAACCACAATGAGTTCTTGTTGTTGCAAGGGTGTTATCCTCGATGTCTGCAGCCTGGATCAAGAATTAACTCTGCTGCAACAAGCCTGCGATATAACAGGCGGGAATTACTTGAAAATTCCCCAGTTAGCCGGTCTTCTCCAATATTTACTGGTAACACCACACTCTCCTCACTCATCTCTTCTCCCCAGCCTGAATAAATCACTAAATTATTATCTTCATTATGAATCATTTCAGTGGGTCTTCCTGCCTGATCCCGAGGTACGTGCAAAGCTCGTACTACCACCACCCGTTAAAGTCGACTACAGAGCAGCGTGTTTCTGTCATCACGAATTGATCGATATAGGCTACGTCTGCTCGGTCTGTTTATCAAGTACGTTCAATACTTTTTTTCCCTCCACTTCGATGAAAAAAAAAGCCTGAAATAGACCATCAACTCACTCATAAATCCATTTTCTTGTCTCCACAGTTTTTTGCAAGTTCAGTCCCATCTGCACCACATGCCAGTAAGTTAAAAAATATATGATAAGTAGCACGAGCATTCGTTGAAAGGCAATGACTCACTTGTGTAAATGTTTGTTGCAGCACTTTGTTCAAGATGCCAGCTCCGATACCAGTGAAAATGAAGAAGAAAAAAAAATTCGCTGAAATTCAATGATCTCTATCTCAATCTATCCCCTCACTAGTAGTGAAGTGCAGGTGATGGCCAAACATTTATATTTATTATTCTGTACACAATTATTTGCATAAATTTCAATTTTGTAATGAATGGCATATGACGTTGATTTTATTTTTTATTGAAGTTTACGTTCTTTTTTTTTTTTATTTTTTCTTCTCGTATACCCTTTCGGGTCTTTACGATTTGTTCCCTTCCCNAGGTAGTCGTCTCTTGCGAGACTCCCGCTCGACAATGAAACCGTGAAGATTTAGAGTGTCACAAATTTTGGCCCCCCCAGCCAGGAATCGAACCCGGGTCTCCCGCATGTCAATCCCACACTCTAACCAGACAGCCACCGCTGGCGGTAAGTTTACTTTCTTTTAATTATGATTTTATGAAAGAATGAGCAGAGATGTTTTTCACGATTTTCTCAATTGTAAGAAAAGTGTCAATTTTTAGTATTTTTCAATGTCAATCACTCATTTTTCAGATAATTGTCTAAGAATTGATTTTCCCTTTCTTCTTTCCTTATATGTAAGACTTCTCTGTTGTATTTCTTACGTTATTTTCGTCTAATTAATACATCGCGCGAGTGAACATCGCGTCACTTGCGTCTGGATACCACTAGAAATGCAAATACTTCTCATGACCTGCCATATGACGGTCACATGACGAGCCATTTATGACGGCTGCCACAATTTTTCTCTCCCTCCTTTATGATCGTCACAATTTGCAACTTAATTTTTCCTTCATCAATTTTTCTTTGAATTCATTTCGTATTAGCCTAGTGTGCATTTTGAAACGAAAATCATGCTCATTTTTCATCTCTATCGATGAAACAATTTTTTTAATTTATGACTGTGACAAAGTAGAAATTAGTTCTGACCGTCGTTATGCATCTTTATAGATGTTCCGAGAACAATTCACTTGCAAATTATTGGTAACCATCATTTGTAGATATAAAAATTGTGCGGCACATGACCGTCATTTTTTGGTCACATATGCGCTCTGAAAAAAGACGGTCATTTTGCATCTTTATATCATATCACTATATTTTCCCACTCTAAGCCATATAACATCCTCCATCCTTTAATATTCAGGAAAAGTAATGATTATTACCGAGTACTTTTCCTGGACTTCATACTCTAATTGCACGAAGAAAAACCACAGAATTGAATCCATCCACGATTGCCACCTGAATGAAATCATTGTAATGCACATGATATTCTCTGTATAGTACTAAAAATGCAGAGAACAGAGAAACTTTAACTAGTATTGAAAAACCGCTTGGAATCATTCAAATTTAAACATAAGCGCGGTCCAGGTGGCACAACCCCCGGAGGCTGCCCCCCCTCCCGCTGAGAAAAAAACAAACATAATGAAAATAGAAAAAAACAAAAATTTCAAGTTATCGGAACGATTCAATAATTCTTAAATTGACCTATTTCCAATTATGTACTTCATAGTCAATTGAAAATTTAAATTATCAATGATTTTATAAATTTTAAATTCCAACCAAAATATTACTAAAACTAATGATTAATGCCGATCCCTGTTGGAGAGTTGTCCAGACGATTCGCCAATTTTCCAGAGGATTCTGTACCGTTTTGAACTTTTCTCGAACTCTAGAACCTTCCACGCATTTTCCAAGCACTTAAATTTCCGGAGAAATGGATATCTCAAATGATATGGAGTTCTGCTCAACAAATATGAAATTCTAAAAAACATGTGACTAAGTCAATAGTAAGGAGTTTCAGGTGAAAATATAAAGGCTTAATGCCTCTTTTTTGCCGGAAGATCTATTTTTGCGGGCGTTTTATTTTCTCCGAATGCCTTATCTGATCCCCAAAAAATTAGGTAACTCGATATGCTGCATTAAATCATATCTTACCCATCAATTTTCCCCTTGGGAAACTACCACCTGTATCTCAGCGATTAGCTAATCACCATAACCGTCAAACAGAATCTCTGAATATTCTACTCCATGGTACCAGGCCCCCATGCCCGCATAGCGTTACCTCATGCGTGATCCAGCATTGATAAAATGCTTTTACGCATACAACTGGTTTGATATGCACCTCTGAACTAAAATGTATCACTTCCACATCTCTCTTCTGCCTCGCTCTCCCACCCGCCCGATCACCCTGTGTGATGCAGAGACAGGGTGTGTTTTGCGTGTTCCCGTATCTTGATTTGAACGTAGCAGAACAGCAGTGGGTAGAAAAAAAGGAGTGAAGGTACAGTGTTGAAGTAGGGCATAAGAAATAATGGTGGGATACCAAAAACGGGAAGGAGTAACACACGGGGGGTAGGGAATCGATGTGATGATAATTAATTAACGCACACGTTAAGAGATTGACGGTTGGCGTTTGGTTGTGGCACACGCGAATGGGGAATAATGAATATATTTTCAATGATTCAGGGTGTTGGGGAACTTTACACAATTTTTCATCGAATAACGAGTGTAGATGTTGACGGGGGATTCGAGAACAGGATTATTGAGTGAATAATTGGGTGAGAATTTGCTTTGTTTGACTTTGAAACTATTTCGCTAGACTCAGTTTCATATTTTATACGTTGATGTGAATCTTGTATGCATTTAATTTCAGTTAGGGAATATTTTGGACACCGATTCACCTCATCACTCAGTGTTTTTCCATCCTTACCCTTAAGAATATCCAAGTGTATTTTACGGTTTGGTACAGACCACACTATAGATTCAACCATTTTCAATCATATAATTTGTTAATTAAATTGCGTGAGAAAATTTTGAAAAAAATCGTGAATAGTTAGCAATTTTTTATAAATTTAATTAATTAACACACACGTTAAGAGATTGACGGTTGGCGTTTGGTTGTGGCACACGCGAATGGGGAATAATGAATATATTTTCAATGATTCAGGGTGTTGGGGAACTTTACACAATTTTTCATCGAATAACGAGTGTAGATGTTGACGGGGGATTCGAGAACAGGATTATTGAGTGAATAATTGGGTGAGAATTTGCTTTGTTTGACTTTGAAACTATTTCGCTAGACTCAGTTTCATATTTTATACGTTGATGTGAATCTTGTATGCATTTAATTTCAGTTAGGGAATATTTTGGACACCGATTCACCTCATCACTCAGTGTTTTTCCATCCTTACCCTTAAGAATATCCAAGTGTATTTTACGGTTTGGTACAGACCACACTATAGATTCAACCATTTTCAATCATATAATTTGTTAATTAAATTGCGTGAGAAAATTTTGAAAAAAATCGTGAATAGTAAGCAATTTTTTATAAATTTAATTAATTAACACACACGTTAAGAGATTGACGGTTGGCGTTTGGTTGTGGCACACGCGAATGGGGAATAATGAATATATTTTCAATGATTCAGGGTGTTGGGGAACTTTACACAATTTTTCATCGAATAACGAGTGTAGATGTTGACGGGGGATTCGAGAACAGGATTATTGAGTGAATAATTGGGTGAGAATTTGCTTTGTTTGACTTTGAAACTATTTCGCTAGACTCAGTTTCATATTTTATACGTTGATGTGAATCTTGTATGCATTTAATTTCAGTTAGGGAATATTTTGGACACCGATTCACCTCATCACTCAGTGTTTTTCCATCCTTACCCTTAAGAATATCCAAGTGTATTTTACGGTTTGGTACAGACCACACTATAGATTCAACCATTTTCAATCATATAATTTGTTAATTAAATTGCGTGAGAAAATTTTGAAAAAAATCGTGAATAGTAAGCAATTTTTTATAAATTTAATTAATTAACACACACGTTAAGAGATTGACGGTTGGCGTTTGGTTGTGGCACACGCGAATGGGGAATAATGAATATATTTTCAATGATTCAGGGTGTTGGGGAACTTTACACAATTTTTCATCGAATAACGAGTGTAGATGTTGACGGGGAATTCGAGAACAGGATAATTGAGTGAATAATTGGGTGAGAATTTTCTTTGTTAGACTTTGAAACTATTTCGCTTTATTCAGTTTTATATTTTATACGTTGACACGAGTCTTGTATGCATTTAATTAATTTCAGTTAGGGAATATTTTGGACACTGATTCACCTCATCACTTAGTGTTTTTCCACCCGCGAAAACTCGTAGCAATATTAATTGTCAATTATCTCTGATGAATTAAATTAAATATTGACAGACAAGGTCAAAACGGAAAGGGGAAATGAATAGTTTAGTTTTCATTATCCTTTGATACCCATACAAATGTAAAGTCAGGTAGAACCGGTGCCCGGAATTGCTTCATTTTTCATCTTGCAACTAATTATGTAACTTTGTGAAATGACGGATATGAATATTGAGAGATGATTTAAGACGAAGATGATGGAATAATTGGATGACAGTTGTTCTTTATGAATTGGGGTGCTTTCGATTAATTACATCCTGTTTTTATTAAATAATTAGATGACAGATGACAGAGTCGGCCTAGGCGGTCTTGAGTTATTTCATTCGAGGTGACGAAGTTATAAGAAAATTAAAGAATTTTATTTGCTGAAGACCGCCTAGGCCAACTTACTCTTATCTAATTAGTTGAATCAATTATAACGGTAAAAAAAACTTCATCAAGATCCGGTTTTTGTTTTAACACTCTATTGGCCTGTTGGATCTTATACTTGACAAAGTCTCGTGGAATTTTTTTATTCTCAGTGTTACCCTTAAGGTTATCCCAATATCCTTTACAGTTTGGCACAGACCACACTATAGATTCAACAATTTTCAATCACCCAATTTGTCAACTAAATTGCATGCGAAAAATTTGAAAAAAAAATCATGAATATTAAGCACCAGTTAAATTACCTTTTGCACATGATTATTTTTTTTATCATTCATTGTTTATAAATGAATCATTGATATTATTTAAACTCTCGGAAATCTTATTTTTTTAGGCAGGAAATCAATTTCTGGTAAAATTCAGAATATGAATAAATTTGTTCCGAAAAATTTAAATGATTCCGAACAAATGATTTTTATCGTAGAAAATTGATTATTTATATGGTCGTAACTAAAAAAATTGCAACTTCTCAATTATGTCATCAATTTTCCTCTAAAAGTAAACTTTCTATATTTCAGACTTTTAAAA